GTTCATTGCCCTGTGAGCTTTTCTTTGCGATGTCAAGTTTCTTTGAACACCAATGTACGAGCAACGTATCCAAGAATGTTTAGAAGTACTCATTCATCTCATGACAAAGGTTCATGGCGCGTCAACCGGTGTATCCAGTCTCTGAGCTAATCAAACTGCGATCCGATGCAGGACAAGCCCAATGCCATGACGGCAACATGCCTGCCATCATTGTCTTTCTTCCCTTCATTACTAACATTCTTGTGTTCTGCCTTGTTCTTCTTGGTGGCCTCGAATGTAGATCTCGGAGGGGAACCGTTGCGGGCGATGGTGCTTGAGGCATCAGTGAAAGACCGGGACGAAGACACGGGGCTAGAGAGGATGATCAATATCTGGAGCACCTGAAATGATGGAACGATAACAAGCCTTACGAAGAATGAGATGGCTTCTTGGAGGATGCCATTTATATTTAGAGGGGGTGTCAGAAAAGTGTGGCACAGAGGACGAGTCGACAGTTATTTACGGTTATAGGTCTTAATCCTAGAGAGACGAAGAGTACGACGAATATGTGTCGCAGAAGGGGGAGAATAGTTATGTTTAATTTCAAATAGATGCCGTTCTTATTAGAGAAAGAGCATAAGAAAAGTAACAGTGTTCACAGATAGATTACCATAATATCCAGCAGTCTCACCCTTCTATATAAATCTTGAAATGTGCCGCGCCACGAGGGGTTCGACCGTGTTCTTACTCCTCAGCCTGCATTCAGATTAGTGCAGCAGCTCATCTCCCTCAGCAGCCTGCATCCTGATTGGTGCGGCATCTCATGCAGCTTGGTTCCTCTGCAGAAGTGATTGCGATTCATTGTCCACCAGATGCTGCTGCTGATTTGACGCCTTTGATCGCTAAAGTAGTTGCCTCATAGAGCCTTACTCGACTGAATTGTAACGTGTATTAATCGCATCTAAATAGGAAATGGGTCACTCTGTTAGGTATACCCGGCATGCATACTATCGTAACTTTGGAGATCAATGTATCTCGGCTTTGTTCTCCTTGCTTATCGTCATCTAACACTTCACCACCTGTTACATAGTACACCCCAAATCTACGATTCTCAATTCGGAGAGGATGGACCTCCCCGTTGCATTCAACGTTAATGAACCATTCGAATACCTAACCATATCAATATGTTCTGATTAATTATGTTGGTTCTTAATTGGGCTGAAGGGTGTACCAAAGACGTACTACGGCAACTCCTTTAATACAATTAGTTTGGAAGAATATGTGCCGCGTGAGCACAATGTTCATAGCGACGTGTAGAGATGTTCATGCTTCCGGCAGAGGATGGAACTAATTAGGACATTTAACCCAGCTATTAAGGCTCCTCAGCTCACTGCTGCATTCTTGAACAACCTAGGATGCCACCGCAAATGGCACGCGTTGAACCATCTCACCAGTTTGGTGGTCTTGTGATGATGTGGCTGCTTGTGGCGCATCATGTCAAATCGACAGTGGCTGAAGATCCCTCGCAGAAGCATCGGCCAAGAGACAAACCGCTAGAAATTCATTTCTGATACCATGTTACTCTCTGCGCGCCCCACGGCCTCCCTTGTAAAAATGCCGTTTAGGGGAAATGCTGTTCTAAAAAAGCAACACTTCACTATCGATCGAACTTTATTCACAAACTATCATTGGCTTCGATGGAGGCTGCGGTGGGGATACTGGAGTCTTTCTCTAACAGTTTGTCACGCTCGCATTTGTTGGCGCAACGCAATCAGCCAGGATCTTTTTGGAGGGGCTTCTTCACACGTATGTACAGAACCTTCCTCTCCCTCGATTCTGCCCGTTCCTTTCTTCTTTTCATTCACTCCCTTGCGTTTAAAGGGTCCTACACATAATCCGTCTGCTTCATTCCACCACGATGAATGCATACAACTCTCGACGTTACAACAACGCAAACCGGCGTTCCGGTCAGATCGGAAACAATATCCAAGTGCAGGAAGAACACGAGACACTCCGGAAGAAATGGGACATGCACGAGGGCCGGCTCCAGAGGCACTGGGACTCGCTCAACCAAGACCAGCGACGCGAGTGCATCCTCAGACTCAACGACGGCGAGAATATCCCACGGCACCCCGAGGACTCGGCTCACGGCGGCGTGCTGTCCAGCCTCGTGCCTGAGTGGAACCTCCGTGATCTGACCGATCCCGATGAGGACCGCCTCCTCGACATCATGGCCAATCGTGCCATACCGGACCTGATCGACCAGTACAGGGTCAACGACAAAGATTTCATCGAGAAGAGGATGGAGACGCAAGAGCTCCGCGTCAATGCGACTTTCAGAGACGCCTACATCATGTTCATTGACAGCGACCAGTACGGACAGGCGGTGCAAATCCCACGCTCCAAGATGAATGAAATCGCGTGGGCCTTCAGAATGGGAAACATGCTCCCCAAAGGAATCGGTGAGATGATTCTGTGCCGCCAATTGTTCCTTCTACAGAGGCTCAACGACATCGCGAATATCATTCTCGAAGAAGCTGGAGTTAGTAAAATTCCGCGCAAGCGTCGGGAGGTCGAGCAGCTTGATCTCGCCTGGTTGACCCGAACTATTCTCAGCAACAAAAACTCTCCACAGCTGGCTAGTACCCCTGTGGCGCCCACTGCAGATGCGGCAGTCGATGCACTTGAGCAGGGCATTCAAATGCTCCAGGTTCCGGGGTCTCGGGGTGCTCCTCAGACCCAACCCGCGGCCAAGAAAGTCAAAGAGGACCCTCTCCCGGACCCCAAGGACTTGATTCGCGACCGCAAAATCGCTTATGAGGCGTACCTGGATTCGCTCGCCTCTCGGTCGGCTATGTTTGCTCGGGAGGTCGCTGGCTGGTTCTCCAGTCGCCCGGAGCTTATCGCTGATGAGAAGGGAAGGTCCCTTCCTCTCAAAGCCGACTATCATGCCAGCGGCGCCGTCTTAGATGCTGCTCAAAGTGCCATCAAAGCCGCCGCGATCTCGTCTTATGCGGATCAACTGCTAGGCCGACTTGATGACGCAGGCTCTGACAAGCTCCGGAAATCGATCATTTTGCAGGAGCTATCAAATGTTGCGCATCTTGACTACGTCCGACTCCAGTCTCTACTCTCTGCTCAAGCGGCAGCTGACCAGGGACTCTAAGCTGTTCAAGCGTGTGTCGAACGGGGTCGATGCCGTGGGAAACCCCAACATCAAACTGAAGGGCAAGCCGCAAGACGTTCAGAACAGCGACCCCCCTCTTCACATCCTTCTCCGACTGTGTCAGCCGGAAACGACCCCGCAGAAGGCGCATGGCTGGGTTGAACAGCTCTCGAAGCTGTACCTCAAGACCGATTTTGACAAATATGGAGCGACGCTCCCACGAGATGCGTTTGAGATGATGGGCTTGCTGTCGATGAGCGCGGCCGTGAGTCTGTCACTGGCACAGAAGGGGCCGGTTCCTTCCCGGAAGAAAGCTCAGTTCTTCGTCACTCGGGCTCAAGAGCTCGAGGCGGAGCTCAACCGGCTTAAGAAAGATCTTGGCCCCGTGCTTACCAAGAAGGCTCTTGACGATGGTCTTATCGACGGCGCATTGGAGAGATTGGACGAGATCGTTGCCGAGAAAGTGGGCGCGAGACTGGCTTTCTTGTACGAGGATTTGATCCAGGACAGCTTCGCGTATCTGGACAAGCAATATGATCACGCCAAGGCGAATGGCGAGACCGACTGGACAGCGCTCGCAGTGGAGTCCCAAGAGCCTTCTGAGGAACTCGTCGAGAGTCGCAAACAGAGGGACAAGTCCCGATCTTCTAGCCGGGCTAAACTTGACATTCTCTCCAGTGCGAGGAAACCCGTGCCTGCACCACCAACCATCGAAGTCGAATACGAGGATATGGTCGAGACTTTCAAGAACCTGATTGGACAGTCCGAGTCGGGCAAAGCGGTCGGTTGGCCTGCGTTCAATCGGGCGGTAAAGGAGTTGGAATTCAACTTGATACGTACAGCAGATGGATTGAACCATGCGTTTGAATCGTCCAAGTACGGGTGCAAGCTTCTTGTGGTTTCTCCGCCTTATAAGGGCAAATTCGAAGGAGACTCGGCCCTTGTGCTTGGTCAGCGGCTGAACAAAGCCTACGGATGGACTGAAGATACCTTTTACGAAGAGGATCCTGGGAAATATCTGGACGAAACATACTCTGGACCCGACTCCGAATCCGACTGGGAAAGTGAGGATTGAGGTCTCGACATTACTTTTTCGGCTAGCATAGTGTCTGGTTCAATATTATTCGGTATTAATCGAGTTGTGGCGCTGGAATTTCGCGATGATGCGACAGCAGCAGGCCAAGCTGTATTGCCTCGCGTCAATCGATCTCGGTCCAGCTCCCCGAGTAGAAAGGTTTCCATTAATCCGTATGGCACATTGGCGCATGTGACCGCTTTCAACTGTAATTGAAGTTGTATCAGCTAACGTCTGCAAGAATGGGGAAACGGTCAGGGAAGTAGCGGAGAGTTCCCCATGCCCTAGCCGGCTTCCCTGATACTCGGTGACCAAACTTGTAAACTTTGGAAAGAACGAAAGGCGAACTTGACAAGAAGCAGGAGCCTTCGATGGTTTGTTTGGTCGTTCCTTCCCAAACCATCCGTAGTCAATATTGCGCGTCACGTGGCCCGTCCACGGCGACTCTCAGTCACCCATTCACCCACCTGGTCCTTGACTACTCTGTCTGTTTCCTCCTCAGATTTGATTTGGCTGGCAATTTGATTTTTCCATTTTTGAGACTCAATCGCTCCAGGAAAGTGTTTGTTTCTTCGAGCTTCTTTCAGCCACCTGAACAACAAACGCCAGACGATCGGCTGCCCGCATATCCTAGAAATCGTTTGCCTCCACGACGGCTATTTTTGCCATCGGCATCCGACTCCCTCTAATTCTTTTTCTCTGACTTCCGACTGCAACATCCACCTCTCCTTCTACAAATTCACTGCCTCTCGTCCCGTCGCGCCTTTCCACTTTGACAAGATGGAGGTTCTGCCAGCAACCGACGACCGAGAGGCGCCTCAAACAGTCACGATGGAAGGAGCAACCCACCTCATCGACCTGCCAGACGAGCTCATTCTTTCCATTTTGGAACTCCTTTGTCGCCACTGCGATGGTCGAAACGGCGGAAGTTTCCAGGCGGAACGCGATAACCATAAGGGACTGGTCTCATTCTCAAAGACCTGCTTTCGCTTCCACAAGCTTGTGCGACCCTACCTCTTTCACCACGTCTGCTTCAACTACGACTACCTAGAGATTCGAGAGCGCTCCTGGCAGGGCTCGAAGCACGAGAAGGCCCTGTTCAAACTTTTGCGAAGTTTGGCTGGCGACCACGTTCCAGACCCTGACGCGCTGGAGGCTGCTGGCAAGCGGAGCCTTGCGAACGGCATCGATGACTTGGCCACCTCCATCAAGCACCTTGAAGCTAACCTGACCCCCAATCTGCACGTTGACAGCGGCAAGGTCGGAAGGAAAGGCCCCAGAGGGGACGCCATTGGCTTCGACTGGCTTCCTGAGGTTCTCAACCGTGCCACTCATTTGGAACATCTCGAGCTGCATATGGAGCTTCCCCTCATTAAGCATGGTGGCTTTATCTGGAGCATGGACCGGTATGGCCGCGACAAATACGACTCTATCAAGACGCTCAGCCTCATTTACCGTGCCGACTGCTACGACAAGATCGGCAAATTTGATCTCAGGGACACCTACATGATCATCAACCGCTGCAACAACCTTGCCACACTCGAAATTCACGGAATAGGAGGCATAGGCGAGCGTTTCATCGAAGAAACCGACCATGTCACCTCCCAGCTCAAGACCTTGCGCCTGACAAACTGTTCCTTGTCTTACGACGACATATTTATTCTCACCTCAGGCATCGAGAACTTGGAGAGCTTCACCCTCGGGCGCGGCGAGCTCCGCAGATTCCAGTTGATCGCTGAGCAGGGCGACTATGCCAGTGTCGTGATGGACTCCCTGATTTCCCCCGCAAATATCACTGCTCGCCTGGCAGGTATGAGCTCCCACAGCCTGAGACACCTCGAGCTCGGTCCCTTCGATATGAAGTTTTGGGAGAGCCTTTGGCACGAAAATCCATCTGGAACTACGGCCGAAAACCTCGAGAACATTCGAATTGCCACAATCGGTACCCTACGTTCTTTCGAAAAGCTCGAGCATGTTCAGCTTGCCCAGGACTCCATTCTCGGCGTCCCCAACATGTGGACCTCTCGATACGGTATTCCTGACGTGTGGCCGGGTGACATACCCACAGAGGAAGAACTCGGGTTGCGCCGTATCGACACCAGCTTGCCTGATCCCGACGGCACCCGCCTAGTCAGCATGCTTCCGCGTACCCTCAAATACCTTCGCCTTACGCATGTCAACAACAACCTGGCAGACAGCCTGCAAACCTTTGCCTCTGCCGTCGCTGATGGAGCGTTCCCCGCATTGAAGGAGGTATCCCTACACGGCCAGGATCCTCTCATGGAGCGCTACCGGTACGGACCCCGCTTCCAGATTGAAATTCTTTTCGCTCTAGAGCGGCACTGGAATTTCTTAAGGAACCACGTCCTCGAGAAGATGAAGGGATTGCTGGAGCGGGCTGGCGTCAATTTCTCCTGGGACGCGATGGGAAGCAACCGCCCCCCTGAGGGATGGCCCGGCAACCCGATGTTGCAGTCCTTAGGCATGGAGCCAACCCCTCCCATGACGCAAGAAGAAGTTGCTTTCAAGGACTTCAGCAAGGAACGTCACAACATGTCCATCATGCTGCGGCGAAAATATGCGGCTCTGGGCTCCACTGGCACCCTGGAGGAAGATAACGATCCCCCGGTGATCGTTCTGTTGCCTGGTGGGAGAGAGCTTCACTTGAACAGTAGAGGGGAGGCGCGTTTGGAGTATCGGAACCGCGATCAGTGGGGAAACCTGGTTGATGAAGACCCTATTCAATCAGATCTTGACTTGGATTGAAAAGGACTCTTGCGGGTTACTGGCTGAACATGTGGGTTTGGTATTGTTGAATGGAGGAAGATGGAAATGGATTCAGCCAAGGACAGAACACTTGTTGATCCATTTATGCAAGGTTCACTAAGTCGATGTTTTTTAATTATTATTCAATTCCCACAGAAATTGATAACCTTCGGCCCGATCTTCCATGTCAGAGTCAATCGTACTGTCAACTTCTCCGCAGCCATGTTCATCGTCTAGCGACACAGCTGTAACGGATGGAGAAAAGGTGACAGATGTGAGAGATGAGGCGCTACTCAGTATCGCGACCTGTCAAAGTCGACGAGTCTACGGAACCGCGGACAAGGGCGATGGCACAGTCAAGATGATGGAATGGGAGTGGGTGAGAGGTAATCAGTACAGAGAAATGAAAGAAATCAATAAGACGATAGACAAAGACTAGAATTTGTGCAGAGAGGCCCGGAACAAGCAACAAGGGTCATCAACTGACGTATCGGGACTCCAGATCGTGGGATGCGACAACCTGACCATGAGTCCACCTGTCGGGCCGATACAAGCCCGAAGTGGCGGAAGGTGTGGGTGCCATTTTTCATTTATTCTCATCTAATAGGGAATCGCAGGGAAAGAGAAATGGTAGCCTTGGCGAATCTTCATGAGTAACAGCAAGGATGTCAACGTTACTCCTCGGAGCGCAGCCTCCGGACCGGCAAGGGGTCGGCGACGGAGATTCGTGGAATGCGCCCCATATTTTCGCCGGCGCTCGGGGAGGAGACGGACTTTGATATTAAAGTATTGGCACATTCCTTTTTGATGGAGGCACAAGACCAGGTTGCGAGGAGTTGCGCGGAGTTGTAGGCTGGTCTCTTCAAGCCCGGCTGAGTTGTAATTATGGAGCTATTTAAGGAGGCATGAAGTGAAGTGTTCTCTTTCAACTTTACAGAGCTTCGTCAACCAAACCTGAAGTGATATCGTTGTTTCCATCAATCCTCAGTACAAGCTGTGCCAGCATGAAGTTCTCTGAGACTTTGGCAGTCCTGGCGGCTGCATCAGCCGAAGCCCACTGTTAGTCTTCTATCCTTTAACATCACTCAACAAGAGACAAAAGTCTCAGCAAATCGTATGATGCTAACTCAGTCGATCAACTCAGACACATTCGGTCGCCTAGTGTACGGCGGCACGACCTATCCCGAATGGCAGCACGTCCGCAAGACTTTAAACTTCTACTCCAACGGCCCCACCGACGGCGTCTCGTCGACGCAGATCCGGTGCTACGAAGCCGATCCCGCGGACAGGGGTACCGTGACCACCATCCCGGTCACCGCGGGCTCGACGATAGGGTTCGCGGCAAACAGCGTCGTGGGACATCCCGGGCCCGCGAGCTTCTACATGGCCAAGGTCCCGTCCGGCCAGACGGCGGTAACCTGGGACGGCAGTGGAGCCGTCTGGTTCAAGATCTACCACGAGCGCCCAACGATCACCAGCAGCGGCCTGGAGTGGGCGTCGTACAGTGAGTGTCCAATTTTCTCAATCATTTCTCCTGTAATTTGAAAATTTTCGGGTCATGTTGTTGTCGGGTGGGTGCGATCTTCGGGGGCAGGGAACCGCGAAAAGCATGTGGTTTCAAGAAAACAGACATTTTAGATTTGGTGGAGAGGTTCGTGAATCGCGCTGTAGGGCTGAATCAGTTCGGTGCTAATGACGATTTGTGTCGCAGACACGCAAGTTCTCTCAACCAAGATCCCATCCTGTCTCGCCAACGGAGAGTACCTCGTCCGCGTTGAGCACCTTGCCCTCCACGGCGCCGCGACCGAGGGCGGAGCTCAGTTCTACGTCGGCTGCGCCCAAGTCTCCCTCTCCGGCGGCGGCAGCAAGACCTTCTCCGGCGTGTCGTTCCCCGGAGCCTACAAGTCGACCGACCCGGGCATTCTCTTCCAGCCGTACTGGCCGACCCCGACCAGCTACACAAACCCTGGCCCCGATCCGATCAGCTGCTAAGAAAACAAGACAAAACTGGGGCTCCTGCGGTTGTTCCCCGGTACTGCAGTGCAATGAATCAGGGTGGCGGTATGCATGCATGATGCCGATGCCGGTGTCACAGAGATAAGGCTCTCGCGCACCCGCCCAACTGCTGACAGGGGCGGGCTGGAACAATCCGGATTTTCTCGGCGTGGCGGACCATCCTCTCCTTAGTTCGCGTCGTTTTTGTTGAGGCGTGCTTTTTTCTGATCGGTGATTTAGGGAGAAAATTTCCCTGCTTGGGGGGTCCGCGCGGCCCGCTTGGCGAGTTCGGACGCCACGGGAGAACGACGTGATGTCAGGAAATGCGGGGAATTCTACGTCATTAACTGTGAAAAGACGTGGCGCAAGGGTCCGATTTTCGATCGCGTTCTTGCGGCTGGGCTGCATGTGGTTCCTTGCACTGTCGATTATGATCTGTTTGTTGTGGTAGTGACAACTTATTTCCCTATTCTGAGTGATTGACTATCGTTGATGTGGTCATTTTGAGGTAATCCGGGGGATCTGCTTCGTTGATATTAATGATCGACCCTTGCTAAAGCATTTTTCAGCGCTTACTGCTCGCTTCGCTAAGATCAGTTCACCCCTCTCATGACATCGCTATTGACGATAATAACGCTAGAGACGTCCGCCCTTCATCACGACTTTCATCATCAAACAAGACCGAAAACAGAAAGAAATTTCGAAGGAAGATAATGAAGATGACGACAGTAACATTGGAAGACTCAGACGCGCCATGCTTCTCTCACGAGAGTTTCCTGGCTCCGCCGGCTGTAGAGAAGCAACCTTCAGGGATCAAAAGCCCTCATCGGCACAGAAGCCCAGCGCGCCGCTGGAACGGTGACGGAAAGGGAATTCAGGTGGACATCGGCACTCGGTTGCGCGAATATGTCGACTGCTTGAACAACAGCAAATGGAACGTCATTGGAAACCACCTCGCCGACGAGCTCACCCGGAATGGCCACTCCCAGACGCGTGAAGAGCACATCACCCGCCTCCAGGGTCGCACGAAGGGCCTCGCCGGATTCAACATCAAGATCGACACCATGCTCGTCGACAAGAAGGCCCGCGCTGTGGCCGCGAGATACGTCAACCGGATGACGCTGGTGGACGAGAGGGTGAATGCTGAACCCGTGGAGAAGACGATTGAGTTTGACGAGCAGTGCTTCGTGTGGTTCAACGAGAAGGGCAAGATTTCGAGGATTGTGACGATCCAGGACAACGACGGAATTCGCGCCCAGAATCCAACGGCAGAGATGACGCCGAAGTTTCTCACGCGGAGCATGCCGGATAAACCGGTTGACCTAGGGTCGCTGTACCGCGCATACGTCACCAGTATGAACCAGCGCACGATGAAGACCGAGTTTCCTAAATTCTGCAGGAAAGACCTTCGACACAACAACAGACCATTCACTGTCCAGGACTATGCACGCAACCTTGATCTGAGCCACGAAGTTGTTTCAGGGCTTCGTTTCGAGATTAAGGAGTTGCTGGTGGACGAGGAGACTCAGCAGGTTGCTGCGCGATTGGAGCTCACGGGAACGCCGACGTCGGTGTTTGCGGGCATCCCTCCCAATGGAAAGAGTATCAAGTTTAACGAGCACTGCATGTACCGATTCGACAAAGGCAAGATCTCGGTGGTATGGGCGACGATGGAGCTGGACGTTGTAAGGAAGCAATTGGAAGCCAGGGCAGATCGGAGGAAGTCTTCCATGTTGGGAATCAATTGAGAGAGGAAGTTGGAAGTTTGTTGTGAAGGGAGCAGACGAAAGGGCTCGGCGGCGTTTCGGTCTGTGGGGAATTCTACGCGGCACGACGGTCTATTTCCAAGAGGTAATCCACTCGTCATGGGGACCGATCGTCAACTTCCCCTTTCACAGCTTTTGGTTTAGACTGTACAAATAACATCTTCATCCTCACATTCAAACCAATGTAACCATACCCACAAACTTCGAACGATTTTAATGCTCCGTGTTTGTATAGGATATCTCGGGTACCCTGAAGCCTAGGCCGGTGAGTTTTTACTAGGCAGTGGTGGTGGGCACCTACATAAATAAAGTATTTAAGCATTCCTAGGTGGTCTCTCAAACTCACACGTACCTTCATCGTTCCACATCAACAACAATCGCGGTCATAAATCGCCCCAATGTCGACACGCAAACCCATTTCGACTCCATTTGGTCCCCTTTACGACCGTGATGCCATCGTTGAAAGTATCAAGCAATATTGCGAACTGCTTTCGCTAATGGTCTCGTTCAGACCCGAGGGCATAAAGAGCCCCCCTGAGAACGGATGGAGCGATGACGAACTTCCCCTTGAGATATTTCGGATCCTCAGGTTCAATCACAGAGCAGTTGACCTATGTGAGAACATCTCGATCTCGCTCTCTCCATGACCGAAACTGATAGAGTCCTCGAAAAAGTACGACACTTGCCATACTTGGAGAGCGAGAAGCCGGTCTACCCATCCACGCAGAGCATAAGCTACCTTACCTTAAAGACACACATCTCTTTTCAGAACCCGAAAGAGAATTCAGAACCAAGTTGAGCTCTGGCTGTTGGAAAGCGAGAAGATTCCAGAAGGAATCGTCGCCCTTGCAGGGCAGGCGGATGGGGGCTTGGCTATGTGGTGACTGCTTGACACCCGCACCGATAATGATGATGACGTCCCGTGGGGGTTATCTGAGGCTCATTGAATGTACTTAATATAGGCGAGGTCACTCCTCATGATGCGTACAGACACGTGCTGGACGAGGAGATACCCGAGAATGAGCCCTGGCGGACCGATAAGCCCCGGCCGGCTGTAGAGTACTTCTTTCTTCCCTTCTAGATAGTCTGATCTCACTTAAGATGATTTCAAATCCGACGCACATACCAGGGGGAGACTGGAAAATTTGGCGAGTGGAGGATTTTAGAGAGGAACATCGGCACTGGGTCCATGTAGGTTTTGAAGTTGGCTGGTGGTTATTATGGTTTTTGGTTGCTGATTTTATGGATTTAGGAAGCTCGGAATATCTAGAGGGAATGTGGTTGGCCCGACGAGCATCGGTTTGATCGGTCAAAGTGTCGGAATTCATTGAAGAAAATGCTAAAGAAACGCTAGGGCACTTTAGGTGTGAGGAAAAGTTAAAAGATAAGGAATCACTCATAGAAAGAAATAGGCGGTTGAGAGACGTAACAGTACTTTTGCTACAGATACGACGTGTCTTAGAAACACCCAGCAGAAGGCTTAAGCTATCCTTTCTCTTAGCTTTTGCAGGCTATCCTGGCCCTCGCCGACGCAGCGAACATCATTCGGAAGATGGTCTAAGACGTCAGCGGCCAGTCTGAGCATGTATATGCATGCGTCGTATTGCATGCTCTTCTCGAGATACCTGGTGTGGATTATCTTGCCCAAAAACGAGACAGACTCAACTATCAGGGCGATCCAAGGGCTCATTGAGACGACAGGTTCTTCTGAAGAAGTACAATCCTGCATCCTATCGGCGCGCGTTCTGTGAGCCGTCGCGGCTGCCGTACGTATGATACATTTGCTCTCGGTCCCAAACTTGAGCACGTTAAAAATCTCGCGCTCAGCTTCTTGCCTTGTCTTTGTTATCTGTGCAAGTAGGTCTGAACGGCTTGCTGCTTCGAGTGCTTCTACCATCTTCAGAATGCCAAGGTAGTGCTTCAAATTTACGTCGAACCAATTTAGTCGACTCTCTTGGTTCAGAAAATGAAGCTGCCTCTCGGAGAGTCCGAGAAGCGGGCATATCGAGGTTGTGTAGATCTCCAATGCATCGACAGTAGCTTCCCAAGTGGACAAAAGGCTTGTTTCATCTACCCCTTCCCTCAAAGCCTCCTTCAATGACGTAATTGTCTTCCATAAGTAGACGTTAGCAACAGAAGCCGCTGAAAGTATCTCAGTCGCTGTCTTGTCGTTGACTTCAAGCCCGTTGATAAGCCAGTCTTTTGATTGGGGAAGGAACGAGCCGACGAGGAAGGCCCTGACCAACAGCCACACGGGTTCTAAGCAAGCCCCTTTCAAGCCAGATGTCAGTGAAGCTCTCAGATTTGATGTTAACGAGCTTTCAGTATCCCAAACCACTGCCGTCCAGTAAATTCTCGTTTCTAGGTCTAGAAACCTGGTCGATACCTGTTCGGCAACGACATAATTGCGAGAGGAGCCAAACTCCACCAGTGACCCCAGCTCATCGAGGTGATCATGGCTCCTTCGTTCCCGTAGTCTTTGAATCTGGGAAAGCGCAGTATGAAGACAAGTCAAACCATCGATCCCGTCCATGACCTCGTCATGAGGGATTCCAGTGGGAATCGGGGTCTGTGCGAATAAATACAAGGCTAACACGGATTGATAGGATACTCGGTTGATGACTTTGAGCATGTCTCTTCTGGCAGCGCGCCAGCTTTCTCTGACAAAGTCTCCGGTGGAGTTCGTCGGAAGGCCGCCATGGCTTTGGAGGATCTGAGGGGCCCATCGTGCTGCGAAACCTTCAATGGCCGTTCGTAAGAAGCACTCGATTTGGGTTCCCAGTTCTGCTTCTCCACGGTCAGGCGTTTGCCCATCCCCCGGAGCTTGAGACACCACCTCCATTTTCAAGTCACGATCGATAGTCCTGAACATGTCTATGACCGATGTGGTTCTGGCTTCACTTGAGTTCTTGCTAACTTAGTCAGTCTCCGAGTCCAGCATCGCCCTGGTGGCTATTTGGTGAATCTTACACGAGCGGACAGCCATCTACTAAGAGCGCAAGAGAAGGTTCGAGAATTTGCTTGACGAGTGAGTCAAACGATGCGTTCATGTCGGGTTCACTCAGTCTGGCTCCAGGGACATTTGCCATCTCCGATCCCTTAGGAGCCACTGGCCCTGAACCCTTTTTATTGGTGTTCTTCATCCACTATTTGACATCAGATTCTGCGGGCGCATAACTGACAATTCTTCCTGTGCTCACTTACGGTGAAGGTGCAAGGTTGCTGTTTCAAGGCGCATCGCGAACACGAACCGCGCCAATCTATATCACCTGGTTGATAGCCACGTTTCGTGGCGTTGCATGCAACTCGGGAACGGTGACAGTTGTCGCAACTTGAATATTGCTTCCTCTGTTTGGAAGATGACATATTCCTATCGCTCAAGGTCCGTGAGATCTATTACTTGAACTAAAGAAAAGTATGGTCAGGTATGCGGTGTCGCTGAAGGCAAGAACAGCTTTATGTTGATCCGACTCAGTAATAATGCTGACATGCGGTCACAGCGGCGCCAACCCCACAACGCTTGATTGCTTAGAAATACAACCAGCCCGGAACGATGTCAGACGCGAGCAAGACCCAGTATCTTTGTCAGCCATTATTTTGCCATGCTTTCTTGACACCTGCACTGCACTGCGCACAATCTCTTGTTTGTGGTTTATGGCGAGTCACATCCAGCTTGTGAAGTATGTAAATCGTCAACGTCAATAGTGGCAGCCTTTTCTCTATTACTGAGTATCAAAGCAAACGTGGAGGAAGTCTTGAACGCTATGTTCCGACTGTCCTGCGGTGCCTTAAGTGTTCACTCGCTAAGATTACAGCTTCTCTAGGTAGTCGACCACCATCGAGTGCAACTCATCGTCGCTCATTCCCTTTACACCCAACAAATTGTTGTCCAGCTTGCTAGAGAAATCACAGCCATAATCAAGAGTCAGCGACCCGCAAAAACAGAATCCCAGCATTGCAGCATCGACATCTGCATCTGACCCTTTGGCAAGCTCTGCGAGACACTCTCGGCGGAGTTCTTCTGTGTCTTTGACAGACGTGCTCCAGTCTATCCCGTCGACATTCTTTGCGTATCCAATGAGCTGGTTTTGAGTAACCAAGGCAGAATGAATAAACACAACGCGGTTCGCAGTCTGAGACCGGTTCCGAATGACGCCGAGTACGGCCATCGCGACATCAGCGAGCGTCGTCGCGCTGAAAGGCACATCGCCGCCGTTGTACAGGATCGCTTTATGATCTTTAAGATCAACGATGAGGCCGTTCTGAAGACCCCAATCGAGGAAAAGTCCATTCGCAATGGCCGTGAAAGTGAACGCTGGGTTTTCCCGTGACATCTTCAGGAGGTAGTCCTGGACGGCAACCTTTGGAGCACAGACGGGCAACTGCGCGCAGAGGGAGTTGGTGGAATCCATACCAAACTCGGCTGGAATGAAAACCTTGACTCCGGCAGAGACCGCCGCATCGATCAGTGGTTTCTGGCCCCCGATGGCAAGCGTGGCCAGACATGATATGACGACGTCAATGCCGGCTAAGGCAGGTAAAAGAGATTCGACAGAGTTGATGTCGACTTCCATGATCTCAAGGCTTGAGTGGACAGGCAGTCTAGACAAGTTTCCTCCATTCCGAGTGAGAGCCGTGACGCGGAAACCAGCGTCAAGGAGGACTTTGAGGATGGGGCCGCCGAGATTGCCGGTGGCGCCAGCGAGCGCGATACGAGTGTAAAACATTGAGTATTGAGGAAGTATGTATGATCAATGAATCTAGGAAGTTGGATGTTTTCATAAGGTTAAAAGGGTGGGCACTGTTGCCTTTATATACTTCGTTAACTTAGAGAATTGCCTGCATGATTTAACCAGTGGCGAGATTTCTATTTCAGATGTGGATGCCGTTCTCGTCCCTTCAATGAACGATCAATCTTTCGGTCTCTTCGTTCTGCATCTAACGTCCTGGGATACACAACGTTCTCGCTTCCGGCTGCCGCTTTGGAGTGGGTCATATCGGTTCCGTCCACCGGCTCCGACACTCGGTGCCGATCACTTAGGCGGCGCCGACCACCGGAACCGGTCCTGGCAAAGAGCGAATCATACTTACACTAATACGTGCGTGTATCGCAGCAGGGATAATTCAAATGCAACGGCGCTGGCGATAATGACAACAATGATTTCAACAGAAGCGTATTGTAACAGCAACAGTAACAGAGATTGAGACTAGGATTAGCAGATATCTGAATTCATTCGTGTCTTTTCAAGGTGATTAAACTTTGTCCGTTGTCTTGACTCTGCTCTGCCCACCTCTCAGTTTTGGAATGCTTGGGAACAGTGGGTCAAGTTCACGGCCAGCCCGGGCAACCTGCTCGCACTGCTCACCCCACTCACCCCGGATCGCGCGGCGGCGAGTGGCTCGGCCACACCTGAATGACAGAGTGGTAAGTTCCCAAAAACCTCAAAGAAGTGGGCTTGCGTTGCCCCGTATCGTGCTCCATATTGAACCCCTGACCGCGGAATATCCGCGTAAACCCGGCCGGCAGCCTTGCTATGTGTTTGTCAAAACGTCCCATGCGCTTCAAAGGCAGGGAAGGTGATTGGCTTCTCTGACATTTTCATCTTGGCCTGCATGCTCTCCCGGCTGAATGGGGAACAAGACGGTGCGTCAAAGCCTCAGCTACTGTGATCATGAGAAGGAGTATGCACTCCCATCCCCACGCTCGTGAGACCTGTCCCCCTGGCTTGGGGAATTGTCGGACTAAATCCAACATGGGTGAAAGACGGGGCCAGCATCTTCTTTCAGGGTATCCGACGAATCGACAGAAAAGTCCCCGAGGCGTGTGCGGGCGCATTCGAATTGATGCGGAAGCTTGCAGCTGCAGGCAGTTTTGTCATATCAGCTCAATCGACAGACAACCAACAGATCACACCGTGGGTTCGAACCTGGTTTGACATTGCATTCTTACTGTGTACTAGGACCCCAAGGCAACGGGCTGCCTGCCAGAATGGTAGGCAACACCGACCGAAGGCTGCAGTGCATCTGCGTCTTCGCCTTCTTGTCACATTTTGTACCTCTTACCCGGGTTATGTGACATGAATGAAGTGGGTGCGACAACAAGACTAGGATCGGGTCCATGTTGCATTCCTTTCTTTTCTCCTCCCCCGCCCCCGTTCAACTTCTCCTTCGTGCAACCCATTCCCCTCCCTCCTACAACGCTCATAAGTCATATTACCATCTATTTTGTTTTCACAAGCCTCAAAATGACGGGACGGAAATCTTCGTCTCCTCCTGGGTCTTCTCCACCAGCCGCGGGTGGAGTCGAGTCCCCCGATCATGTCATCGAGGCTAATGAGGCTGAGGCTGAGCAATCGGAAGATGGCTATGAGACGACGTCCAATGCATCAACCTCCTTGGCCCCCAGTGTTCGCGACTACAACTTTGAGAACAAGCGACGCTATCATAAGTACAAAGAGGGTCGCTACCTTTTGCCAAACGACGACTTGGAGCAGGAACGTGAGGATATGAAACATGCTTTGATTCTCCACCTTTGCGATGGAGAGTTACACAACGCGCCCTTGAAGAACCCTCAGAAAATCCTCGATATTGGGACTGGCACTGGAATCTGGGCTATGGACAGTACTATTCCCCTGACTAAGTATGATCCGTCCGGGTTTCGCTGACGAGCTTTGCAGTGGGAGATGAGTACCCAGAGGCCGAGGTTACTGGCATTGACTTGAGCCCAATCCAACCGATTTTTGTGCCTCCTAACGTCCACTTTGTTGTCGACGACGCTGAGGCTGATTGGACATGGGACGATAATTCACTCGACTATGTTCATATTCGCAACATGGGCCCTGCATTGAAAGACTGGGACAGACTCTTGGAGCAGGCGTACAAGTAAGTTTCAACAAGTCGGCCCACAGATTGTAATGACTCACTAACGTTACCAGGGCCCTCAAGCCAGGTGGCTGGGTCGAAGTACAAGACATCGTCTTCAAATTCGCCTGCGACGATGGATCAACTACCCCTGAATACACGCCCAAGAAAACCATGGATTACCTCGCGGAGGCCCTCGAAAGGTTTGGGGTCGACGTCAACATCGCCGAGAAGCTTGGTGAAAAGGTTGATGCTGCGGGCTTTGTGAACACTATTCATGACATGAAGAAGGTCCCTGTCGGCACATGGCCCAAAGACCCGCATATGAGACAGATTGGGAACTATGCTCGGGCCGTCAACTATGACTCTCTTGGCGCTGTCACAAACATCCCCTTCACCAAGGGCCTGGGCTGGACAACGTTGGAGGTAGAGGTTTGGTTGGTTCAAGTGCGAAAGGATCTGATGAACAATTTCTTCCAGACATATCATCATTACCATTCCTACTCTGGTCAAAAGCCGCTAGAAACAAAGTAGGCCCTCAAGCTGTTTGGATAATGTCCATACACATTACTACATAAGAATTAACTACATTATTGACACAAGTGCGTAAGCGGCAATATGTAACCCACATGAGGGATGCCAAGGTTTTCCCTAAGAGTTTATGTAAGCTTAGAGGTAGCGGATGTGAAGGTTTTGGTATGGGCTTGTGAGAGCTCGTTTAGAAGACCATGACATACCTTTGATTGGTGTTGTTGCATTACATGAGGTCCGGACAGTGGTCACAGGTCGTCAGGTTCCATGCCGGAGGGCCGCGAAAAGGGGGTACAGGAGTGATTAGATGGGACAACGCCGTGTGCTGGCAACTTTTCGTTTTCTTCATCGGGCGCCCTAAGCTGGCTAAGAATAGATGCCTAAGCATCTACAATTGTAAACCTCAAGTTCAGCTTCGTCTCCTTTATAGGTGCATCCAATAGGAAGCCTCCATTGGACCCCCACACGGTTACCTCCTTGATAGCCTTCAACCCCAGTCTGTACTTATGCTGTAGAAGCATCCAGGCTGTTGAGGCGCCGTTAGGGCTGCCCAGAATTGCAAGCCCCGGGTCTGAGTCTAATTGGAATGTAATACGTTCGTCCCAGCCAGGCACACTCTGATGCCCCTCCTCGCGTAACGCTTGTAGAACAATATCGAAAGTCTTTTCATAGACGATATGCGCTTGGAAGATGAGCTTGAGGTTGGTCATCTCAATTCCCATTGCCTCACAGCCAAGCCACCATTGAAAGTAAGCAAAGTCAGATAGAGTATCGAGATCGGGGACGTCTCCTGTCTTATATACAGACTTTGTGTACTTGGGACTGAAGTTCGAATCGAAGATGAAAGCGCCTGAAGGTGCGTTTACGACATTGGTATAATGCCCTCCTGTCGGCTAGAAAGGCGAAGTCAAGTTAGTATTGCGGTCGCGCTATTATCAACTGTCGGGTGTTACTTACCTCTCCCACCCGTAGATCTGTGAACCGAAACTTCCGGTCATGAACTGCGTTATAGGCCATTCCTTTCTCCCTGTCGACCGGAAAATAAGGGTCCGCAAATGCTTCGTCCAAGTCGTCTTTGAATTGCGGCCACTGCTTGGCCGGGTTGAAGGGCCAGCGTGCGTTTTCCTGCGTCCATCCCCACTCAAACATATCTTCTGGTTCCCTGAATGGGCTGATGATAGAAGCTCCGCCGTTGTACTCCTGAGCCTGGTCATTATTGAGTGGGAAAAGTTCCTTGAGCCACTTCCCCTTCTCAATTCTACCATTGTAATCCTCGGGAAATGAAGGGAATGATGTCTTGACCCGTTTGGTTAACGATCCATTGCGAGACAGTTTGGCCCCTGTCGTTACGGGAGAAGCGCCAGCGAATGTAATAATGAGCAGAAAAACCAAGAAGAGGACACAGGCACTCTTTTTACTGAACGAATGAATGGAGTGAGACATTTTGAAACGATGCGGCTAACAGCCGGGTGAGGCTAGGGATGGCGCTGGGATGCACAGAATGATTGTCGCGACATACGCAACGTGGACAGCGACAGAACAATTAAATAGCTTTTCATTCCACCTTCAATACCGAGTTACAGCATTTAGAGAGCATAGACTCATATAATTACTTACAATGTTGGGCAGAACTCTATCTGCGGCTATCCCTGCAAAATAACCCGATTGAAGTTCAACAGGCAATTGCCCCCGCGATTGACCAGGGCATGGCCCGAGTTCTACAGAAGCGGTTTACTATCTAGGAAATAAGTCACGGATATGCCGACTAATGCTTTATTCTCACTCGATCAATGTGGCTTGGCCACAGGCTCACACACTATCCGGCCGCACCTCATGAGCAATTAAGATTCTTGCTCGACTCTAGATGGCTTTCTCCCTTGACGTTCTCACATCATTAGTTGATATTCAAATTCAATGCCCTTATTCAGTGATTCATTATAGCAGCATTGCTGTCAAGCCCCATTTGTCCCCAAAGGTGAAATCTAAATTCGGAACTTGACGGTTGCAGCTGTCAATCGCGGTGAGCTCCGATCGCATGCTGACAGAACTACATACCGCGCTGTTCGTTGGGGCAGGGAATCAGGGGATGTGTCTGAAGTATTTAATTTGGGGTTTCATTGACACTTAATCGTCGTGTAGCGATTGTCGGCTCTTCAACTAACCCGAAATATCGGTGCTCGGGAGCTTCTGGTTCCCGAATCATGATGCAAGTAGAAGGAGACTGAGACAAGACTACACGCTTACTGTCGGTATTAAAGTCCCCTGTCAGTATATGCTAAGAATTTAGTTATTCTAAAGATGCTTTAACTTGGAACCACGTGAGCTGCGTTTTCCAACAGCCTGCGTATTATCGCTTGTAGGTGTACTGGTTTCTGCAGCAAGCACTCGACGACGATGGTGGCCCAATGTGATAATGCATTAAATATTCTTTTATTGCGTGTGCCTAACCTAACCAATGTTTCTTCTTTGCATTGGCGAACATTACTTCAACATGAGTTGATATCTCTCCCGAAGGCCCTCAGGGAAGAATAGATCCACGCCTGGGTGAGCTTTATTTCACAATGGGATACGAAGTACGTAATCTTCGAGCCTCTCACTCATTCTCTCTATCATTTGAAATAATTCAGCTCAGGTCTGCGAGGCTGACTGAATGGTAGATGGCCGCGTCGTCTCAGTCTTTGTAAAGAGTCCACCTTCTCGGTCGAGCTTCACTTGGATTGAGGCGATAATCCACCCTCAGTACTGCACCTCAATTTGGCGAAGCCCGACACTCCGGTAGATCGGTAACAGCGCAGTTCCGCTACCATGTATTAACGTTGTGTTGTTCTGGTCAAGCGCCTTAACGCCGATTTGACTTCTTCCGGCTCGGCCGAGTGGCTGAACAGAAGCCAGAAGTGGATGCACCTTCGGGATGTGGAAAACTTCGGGAACTGGACCTTGGATTTTTCAAAATTCCAACCAGAAAAGAACCCCACGAGGTTTTTTTGATTAAAGTACGCGTGCTACCTCGCCCGCTTAATCGAGATTTCGGTAAGGCGCCGCCCGCAGTCTCTCATGCGCACGTGTACGTGGGGGCGGTCCGATCAAGAAGAGCCAAAACCGACGAAGAGAAGACGGAGAGAATTCTCGAGTTGGTTTAGCAAGGGGTCGCCAAGGCTTTAACGGAGGCTTTCGGCAGTGAGCATGACAAACGTGGACGTCAGCAGCTTGCGAGGCCACGACACTCAGCCTTGCAGGTTTTGACATGATGGAGAAGAAATAATCAGTGAAAGGAGCTCAGAATGGCTGGAACGTGAGAAAGCCGGCTCGTGACGGAGCGGAATATACGCGTTCAGCAAAGGGACTCTAGCGGCTCTGCGAGAAACGGACGGTTGGTGAGCTGCTTCTTCATTCGGGCTATCAGATGAACTAGTGGACCGATCGACAGTTGGGAGAATCCCTGCAGGCAATGGGCCTTAATGCGCATCTGCCGGCATCTAGGCGACGCCTGCCAAACTAAACACTAAGGTAGGAGTGAGTGACAAATTTTAGGTGGCCATCATTCACACCCTGACACCGTGCTAGATGCATATTTGCTAGCTATTGCTGATGGATGGTGACCGCTTTTCTGGCTGCCAGTCACTCGCGAAGCCTTTACAGCCCTCCTTTTCTGATAAGAGATTCCTCCATGGCAAATGAAAGTTCGTCACCCATATCGTTGTATCAACTTGTTTGCCACAGCAGTCACGCCAGATGCGTGAGGTTTGGTGCAATGGAGCCAGTCTCTGTGCCGGAAATTGTGACAGTTCCAATTCATTGCTACCATGTGCCTTCCAAGGCCGGGGTCTGCTAGCTTTATTCACTGCCCTCGCGGAAGAATGTTTCGAAGATGTCCGCCGAAGTAAGGTAATTAGTCGGTGCAAGCCTGCAAAGTCCTGCGATCTCGGGGGAGAAGATGCCCCTGCCGGATTGATGGAACCTTGCCCTGATTCAAGACGGGAACTCCCACCAACAGGCAGGCTTTTCTGTTGCAATTACTGTGGGCTTTTCCAACACTCTCATCTCGGAGAATGAATCGGTGCCGGAGCGGCAACTTTACTGCAACCATTGTGGAGAATTTCCATCGTGAAAGTTGCAGAGTGTACTGCGATTACTTTCAGCAATCCACAACCTCAAACAATCCTACATAGTAGCATAGACTATCCAGCAGTGGGGCGAGAGCGAAGCACCAGGATGAAAAACAAGAGGCTATCGAAGAGGCTATCGCCAAGGAAGCATCTAAGACGAGGTATAAAAGAACCTCTATCTTACGAGGGAGTGGTAACTTTTCTCTTCGCGGCAGCGCACTGGCATTCGCACTCCCTCAGCTTCTCCTTTTCAACTCCTGCAAAGTATGCAGGTCACCGTTGCTTCCTCTCTGGCCCTTCTGGCTGGCCTTGTCCACGCCGTGCCATTGGCCAACAACACTCCTTCAACTCGCCACTTCGACGGTGCTTGCACAGCAAACAAGCTCACCATCCGAAAAGAATGGCGCAACATGAACCCGACCGAGAAAAACGACTTTCTTGATGCCCAGAATTGTTTGATGAAGCTGCCCGCCAAGACCAATCTCGGCGGTGTCACGAATCGTTTCTCCGATCTTCAGGCCCTGCACCGCTGGCTGACGAACGCCACCGTGTTGGACGGCTACCTGGCACCTTCATGGCAGGGTGTTATCCCGAACGGAATCTACGTTGCCGACATCATTCACGACGTTGGCCAATTTTTCCCCTGGCACCGTTACTACATGCACGCGTACGAGACGATGATGCGCGATGAATGTGGCTACAAGGGCACTATGCCGTGGTGGGATGAGGCCAAGGACGCGGACACTGGTGACTTCTTCCAGAGCGAGATGTGGTCTTCAGAGTGGTTCGGGGGCAACGGCGTTGAATCTTTGGACTGGTGCGTCACTGACGGTGCCTTCGCCAACTACACCGAGCACATGGGCCCTGCGCTTACCGATACGACTTATTGCATGAGCCGTGAGTGGTATCAGGATATTTCTCAAGAGCTGTGCACCAGCGAGGTTGTGAACAAGTGTCATGCTCTCGAGACCTATGAAGACTTCTACGTCTGTGCTGGAAATGCCTTCGTTTCCCCTCACTATGGTGGACACACAGCCGTCGGCGGCATTGTAAGTCCCCATCATTTCCACATTGTTTCTGATATGCAACTAATGAATTGTTCTTTTCCAGATGGCCGATATCCACAACTCCCCTGGCGACCCGACCTTCTTCCTGCATCACAACTACATTGACCGTCTCTGGTGGCAGTGGCAGACGGCCAACGCGCCGGTCCGGTTCTCTGATATGAGCGGTCAGGCTTTTAACTCAACCAACCTCGAGGCTCTTGGTCAGACTGGTCCGGCTGGCGGCTGGCCTAATGCCACCTTGGACTACCCCCTGTGGATGGCGGATATCCTGCCCAACGTCACCATTAGCGAAGTCATGAACGTCCAGGGCGGCCTGCTTTGCTACGACTACGACTACTGAGGTTGAAGCTGAGATTGATGGTAGCTTCTAGCATAGACATTGATGTACATACTTATGCGATTTGACGGATTACTTACTCTCATGGATATACATACTTACCTATGTTCTTCGCTCCGCTGGTCAATTACAACATCAAATCTATTTTTCTATATTATCATCGTCATGAAGTTTATCAACGATCAACATCAGACGATGTTGTTTCAATTTGAAAGTCATTTTCTTCGGGATCTGGAACTCCTTATTGCCCTTGCTCCCCTGTCTAGGCTTCTATTTCCCTCTTCCGGTGTAGAATTTACAGGGGCAGACTGACTGAATGGAAGACACTTGAGGCTGCTTATGCAAAGTCTCTTCAACGTGATAAGTCGAAAGAATACTATATTTACGAAGCAGTCATGTCCTTCCACCCCCTAGAATACAAAATCGACAAAAGTACTCTCGTTCGTAATGACTGTGGAGACTGTGGACACTATGGTCTAGCGCCTAAGAGCAGCAAAAGGGAGACATTTGCTGCTGGATATACGGAACCAGGTGACCATTCACTTTGCGGCCTATGAACTTAGAGGTTGACTTTCAGCTCGTGGGTTTCGGCGATGCTTCTTGGCACAACAATCGATCGCAATGGGAATCCCAAAGTTCAAGACCTGGAAAGATCTAGTGAAAGTTGGTGAGCCCGCATGTTGAGGAAAAGAATGTTTCTATTCTCTGAACACAATTCGACATCAGGGAATCCAAAGTATTGACAGCCGTTTATCCCAATATTGTAGGCTCCTATGTGACGTATCGGAAGCGCGCCCTGTTCGCCTCACGATCTTCCTCGGAAATACCAACCACCTGGGCCTGTGACTCTCCCTTCATAACCTCAGCAACATCGGCACCCGAGTCAAGCTTCTTGTTGGCGCGCTGAAGAATGATGCGCATTGCCAGAGCCAAGATGATTGTGCCGAGAGCAAATGCAGAGTTGACCGACATGGCCAAAACGTAGCGTGGCTTGTCCGTATCTGGGTACAAATATGACGTCCAGACCTATCATAAAACGTTAACTCATCAATTTCGAATCTCATGAGGGAAGGATCTTACCTGCGAAATGTTTCCAAAGGCATTCACAAAAGCCACAGCTGCCGCACGTTTGATCCTAGGTCTCAGCATTGTCTTCTGCGCCCAAGCAAGCACAACAGCATTCGCTCCATGGCCGCCTCCTACCATGAGCATCATGGCGAAGTACCGCGGCCCGACCTGAAGTGTCGATGCAGCCACAACGAACCCTATGATTGCCAGAGCAAGCGGCCACATGACGTGAAACGACGAGTTGTTCAGCCGGTCGGCAGACCAATTGTTCACGACAGAGATGATCAGCCCGAGGATGTATGGCGGCGCGGTCAGCAACAAAGTAACAACGCGATTGTACCCCAGCGTCTGCACCACAGACGGGAAGAAGTTGGATGTGGCAGCAGCAACTTGCAGGCAGAAGAACATGGCCGCAAAGATGTACACTCTCCAGTCCTTGAAGGCGAGCTTGAAACCGTGACTCCACGCCTCCTCGTCCTCGTCGACTTGGCCTGCGTCCTGGATCAAGCGCCACTCGGCAACGGCACGCTCAGTGGGGCTGAGCCATCGGGTCGTAGAGGGCCAGTCCGGGAGGATGAAAATGGAGCAGATGGCCACGAAAATGGTGATAGAGCCCTCGATGAGGAAGAGCCAACGCCATGACTCGAGCCCACGAGCACCCTCAAGACCGTCTTTGATACCTGCTCCAATGAGGCCACTGAAGGCACTGCCGAGTTGTGTTGCTGAGAAGAGAATGGCACTGCGGAGGCCCATTTCGGAGCGGCGGTACCAGGAGGAGATAAGGAAGAGAGCGCCGGCTGCATATTACCATACTTGTCAGCAAAGTTTCTGCACATCATGGGAAATCTGGAGTATTAGACTTACGGTAGAACGCAGCCTCGACGAATCCGAGGAAGAATCGCAGCGCATAGAGACCGGCCGCGTTATGTGCAATTCCAGTCAATGTCGACAAGAGACCCCACATTGCCATGCATGCCGGCAGGTAGATTGAGGGTCGAAGATTGGCCAAGAATACGTTCGATGGGATTTGCATGAGAACGTAGCCGACGAAGAGGATGGCAACGGCAGTTGCGTATTCGTTAGCTGAGAGGTGGAGGGTTTCGGCCATGCCGGCGACTTTGGCGGCGGCGATATTGTTCTACAGCATTGAAACATCCAGTTAGCCTCGAAATTGTCTCTATGTTCACCCGACCAAGGTGGTTGTTTGGGGTGTCCGAGGTAAGTTGCAGGAAGACAAGAAGACCAACTTACACGATCCAGGTAGTTAAGGACGAAGATCAACCACACACAGGCCAGCAACCTGAGATCCAGCTTCTTCTTGAGCTTCTTTTCAGCTGCTTCGAACTCTTCCTTGGACATGAGTTGTGCAGGAGCCAGGCGATTTTGGCCATGAGCCTCCTTGGTTTCGATCATGTCAACAGTCCCGTCGACTTGGGTCTCAGCAACCTTTTCTGCATCCATGGCTGTGGTTGTTTGCACGAACAAGAGTGAAAGGATAGTGTTCGTCCTCGGGAACGTGCTTTTCATAGCCCATTGAGGAAGTCTGGTTTCTTATACAAGTCTCTAGCACTCGACAGAGTCCTTCTTCCAGACAAGGATGAAAACCCCTGATTCATGAATCTCCGCAAACTAGCAACACACTACCCCATTACCCCGACTTCCGCGCGGTCCTCGGGTGGGCATCTCCCCCGTCACTCCGCAGATTCAGTGGTAACTTCAAGCTACCCCGCATGGGGTTCACTCCGGGTTGGCTCCGGGGCTGGCTCAAGTCCCACTATCAAAGCCGACGCCGTGGGGAAAGGTTCGACTGCAATCTCGGGGTAAACCCGAGCAAGGGTAGAAATGACATGATCTTACTTGCACTTATGGGGCCCTCTAAGGAATTTTGAACACGGGACTCGGTTCAGAAACGACTTGTCAAACCTAAGATAGCGGGCGTTGTATGGAGTTTGGTTTACGCCGGGCTTCGAGTGAGTTGACGCTATCGATAGGATTCTCAAATCATTGAACCACACGCCGGAAGCAAAACTACTGCGATTGATATGCAGATTGCACATCTAAATGGCCTAATTGAGGTAGAAGTCAAGGCCTATGAACGCCGACATACTTGGACATCGGCTACAGCGTCCGGTATCTTCAAGTCTGAGTCTCTGTATCCGTGCGTTCAAGAACGAGTAGAGCATCGAAGCAAAATCGCTTCTTAGCTAGCATTAGCTTGTCCACCAACAACCGCTATTCACGAGGACCATTATGGCGTCAGGTAGTGCTATTACATTCCCAATCCGGGGTTGGGTGCATGACCTCGTTATATGCTGGAGTTCTCCGGAATGCATGTGTTGGCTCGGATTCTTCCGGATCAGAGCTGCTCAGGCTTGGTCTGGTCAGTCACTACTTACGGCAATGTTTGATCGAGGTCGGAATGATCGAATACCTGAAAGAAATAACGTAACCGTAACCCATGCCGGCGAAAGTGACTGCATGAGGAATTGGGAGAGCTGTCTACGCTATCAGGATGGCTTTGAGTCTCCGAAGGCCGCCTTGGGATGGTGCTTTGGTCTCGGAGGTATGCCGATGCGAGGTTCTCGCACTCCTCCACCTTGGTCCAGCTTCCTTCAGAGAATCGATTGTTCATCTCAAGACCTCACGTCCCTCAACTGAAATTAAGCATACTTCAAGGACATGGTTACGTTGTTCTTCTAGTGGCTCATTCACAGCACTAAGTGAACTACGTTTCACCTGCCGTCTATTTTGACTACATGTCAAACATCTTCATCGCATTATCTGTCATAAAGTCCATCGGACGTTTGGCAGATTCATTCACTCACGCGAGGCTAACAGTCCAAATCACACCGGACGAACAGGAATTTATTCCACGGCCATATCATATCCTTGTGTATCGAGCACCTTTCGCTAGCAGTCGTCCTGTGAAGCGGGAACTAAGCCCGACTTCATTCCAAAGGCTTGGTTGCACTGGCAAACACAGCAGTCCTCTCGGTCTCGAACGGCTTTCCCCCGTACTTCTTGTTGAGATACTTAATGATGGTCGCAGTTAATTTCGGTCGCAACTTTTCCTTCTGCTCCCTGGACCAGTACCTCTCCGTGACACCCAACTCAAGGCCCTGCAACACGGCGCAGAACTGCTCTGGGGTCTCAAACGTAATATTCTTCGTAACAGTCTTGGCTGTCGCGTCGACGAAGCCGGCCGCATTGAACATGGCGCATGTAAAGTACTCGTCCTCCCATGCACCCGGCGACCAGATCCGGGTGAGCTGGTGGGACTCCTGAGGCCATGGCACGGGCTTCTGGCCAGGCAGCCTGAGGTCTGCGACCGCTTCGCGAGTGGCGGGGACCCAGCCCTCGTATGCCCAGGTAGATGTAGCGATTCGGCCACCAGGCTTAAGAACGCGTTGTAATTCTGAAAAGGGCCGTTAGTGCGTTGACATGCTGTGACGTCTTCATCGAGTCTCACCAGAGAGCCCGGTGTACGGATCAGCGACTACCATCAGTGCCATTCCGACGACAATGTAGTCGAAACTGTTGGACGGAAAGGGAAGACATTATTGGCAGTTTCAGTTCCGAGCTCCACCCGGGTAAAGTGCACGTGTAAAAGTAATTGAGAGGAGGCTGAACTATTATGCACATTCACTTACTGCAATGTCCGCATGAACGGTTTTGGCATCGACCCAGCCATCCACCTTGATCCTCTCTCTGACGTATTGAAGTTGAGCCTCGCTTGAGTCAGAGCAAGTTAGTCTCACAACACCGTCTTTCTCTCTTCCTTGTTCCTTGATCATCGCTTGGATGTGCGCGGAAACTACTCCAGCTCCGCAACACATGTCCAAAACCTCGACTGGTTTTTGGAGAGATGCAATCTTTTTGCCGTTGAGCCCACAATGCTCTAGAAGAGGCGGGGTGACTGGAGCCGTGATGTACTCCGTGTTTCTGTATATATTGCCAACGTCGGTCCTTCGCCAGAGACTTGTGTGGTTGGCTCTGTCTGCCGGTGGATTGATGCCGGCAGGGTTGAGAAATAGCTTGGACTGCCCAGGGGCGTTGGGCCCAGCTGCCGAGTAGGATTCCATTCTGAATTTGGTTTGAGATTGCTTCTTAATAGTACGTTGGAATTGTTTTCAAATGTCTTGGCTTTGAGGGCGATACGCATGATCCGCCTGCGTGGCGTGAATGGCAAGCTGGATATGGAGCATTTATACTCGTATTACAGTTAACCTCTCCGTAATGGCTCTCAATTTTAAGGCGAAGTCTATCTGCGAGAGCGAAGTCATTGTATCAAGCCGTTACTGGGTTCAACAAGCAAGAAAATGGTCAACTAGCCAGATCAGTACCATGTACAAGGAACAATCGGCCGTATTCGGTAACCACGAGGCTGCACAAGCTTCGCCCAGCCCGTGCCCTAATAGACTGGCAGCGTAAGATTATAGTTCAACGTATGTAGGGGTTGTGCGTTAAGGCTACTGGTAACCCACCATCTCTACATGTGCTTTCGTCTGAAGACTCAGAAGACCTGAGCCTAAACTATATCAACCACTAGCATTCGTACCATTACGTCGCCAAGAAAAGGATGTCAGTTCTGTTGACCCAATCGGGGAGGTGCCTTTCCGGTGTAAGCATCGCAAGTCGCCGCTTGGACTCTTGTATTATTGGCTGTTGGGGACCGGCCGTCTCTCGGTAATGTACTCGCTAGCAGAGAATCGTGACGGTGAAAGCCGGAGAACTACTAGAGAAAGCTGCTTCAAAACGGGCATCCTAGCTAAGTGTAAGAGGGCTTTCGGCGTGCCTATTTGCATACTGGCGTTGTTTTAGGGACCACAAATGACTTCGGGCATCCCTTTGGCGACATCTTGCCTCCGGTATGGGATCCGTGCGAAGCAATCGCTTTTCCAGACAAGGGGCAGAGCTTGGTTTGGCAGAAGGGGGGATACGGATGTCAATCATCATGCGCTGCTAGAGGTGGGCTCGGTCCACGGTATGCCCTACGCGCGGTCTGCTTACCGCCATACGGCACGCGCGGTGAGGTCAAACTCAAAAGTTCCGTCACACGCAGTGTCTATTCCCGCCAGTATTCGAGGAATTAACACCAGGATTTTTTCCTGTCATTACAAGACTGGACTGAGCTGGTGCCAGCCCAGCCCCGTCGCCAAATGAATGTCCAACCTTCGGCTGAAACAAAACTCTCATGCCTGAGTCACCCGCTCGTTCGGTTCTGTGCGTGTAGAAGTCAACACCATGTTCTACTATGGCGAATACTGGTATTCTCCAAATGCCCACAGGCCCTCAAGTCGGAGCCGATCAATTTGAGGCACCGAGGCGGCTTCGGAATCGCCATCAACGGTCGAAGTTAAATTTAATTTCAACCCCTGCCTCTTCCCACACGCCGAATCTTGAGGTTGAACATCAACCATGGTGTGTGTTCAGACACAAACCTTGCAGTTCCCTGGAACGAGGTCAGAATGCCTCGAAAGCAATCGTCGTTGGTAGATCTAGGCTACGATTGCCCTCCCGAGACTCCAGTCATACAACCGTACCTTGAACCATGATATCTATCTCAAACCTGCAATTCTGTCATTACCATGTGAATTTGCGTCAAGCGCGATGGTACATATGTCTTGCATGGCCTTCAAACAGCACACCACTTTTACCGATGCAGAGCGAGGGTCAGAATAGAGTCAATAGCGCGTGTGTTCTGTCGGCGGCCCGCGGGATCGGGAATTATTAATAATCACCGAACACGTGCCGTAGTCTAGGGAAGGATGTTTTTCTCAGGAACGGCACGACAAATCATGAAATTGTGCGGATAATCAAGCTCCTACAACTTTTCTAACTGGTTTAATCTTGGCAACATGTCCCAAAACAGTCACCATTAGCACTTTCTTGGCGGCGGTTCTCGAACGACCTTTCCTTCATTCTGAGACTACACAAAAGGGACACTGACAGACGAGCTGGGGGATTCTTTTTGTTATAACGTTTTCGTAGTCAGGATTAGTTCAGCTGAAAATGTCCCCAGAAGCATATGATCAAATGAGGAGTGATAGCCGACGGGATTGCCGCGTGGTGCGGAGTTGAGAAGTCCGTTATTGCCGGCCCTTCAGTTTACTGCCTGCATAGATTTGCTGGCCAAAACTGCCAAATGGAGACGACAATGTGCAAAAAGATTGCCTTCAGCCCAATCCTGTGTCTTATGTTTTGTTCCCTATTCTGTGTAGGTTACTCTATCGTGTTTTTCAAACCGTATGTCTGTGTCTTTGACCCCTCGAGGGCAGATGACTGCTTCGGGAATGTCCTGAACGAGCATCGGTGGCCGAGGACCATTCGTGAACCCTCCCGGTTCTCTGTCTTCGCCTGTGGGATATTGACGTTGAGGCACAACCAAAACTCACAGATATCTCGCCATCTTGTGAATGTGCCTCACCCCGTCGGCTTGCTTCCATAGTGACAAATACTTCAAGTCTCCGTTTTGTTGTCCGAGAAAGGTTGTCGACCCAAACTCACGAGGTAAACTGATCTCAAACTGAGTGGGAGTGTGTGAAAGCGCCCATCTCCTTCCTATGAAATGGTTGTGTACGACTGCGGGAGATCGACCATGCAGGTGAGCGTATCCGGAGAGCAGTTCGGGACGTTCATCGGGTGTACCTGGCAACCACAAGGGTACCATCTCACGCCTTTTGCGTGTTGTCCCCTACTCCCTGTTGCCTTCTCGTCAGCGATATTTAACCGGTGCTATCTCACGCGTGACGTAAATAGTCGCCTTCATGTTACTAACGACTTTGTTGACGAGCCGATAACTAATCCGGTGAGACTCTATTCTTTGTCTTTGGTCCTTGTATGGCCAAGGCAGCGTTACCAGGTCTTGCGTAGATGTCTTCATTTCGTCGTGTTTCCGCAAGATACAGCCTAATTTCTCTGTAAGCCCAAGGCTGGCTTGTTTCGTTCGTTCTCGCATCGTCCAAAATACGTCACCAGCTATCATCCCACTTCACGGTTGAGTGGTCGAGGCAGACATCCCGGAAACAGGCATCTGGATACTACAGATCCATGCAAATTCCCAGATTTCCGGGTCACCCAAGCTGCGTCCCGAGGATACCGATATAATTGGCCAGGCTCATCGAAACACCGGAGCCGTGGAAACCCACGAACTCAAGCCCCAAGACATCAGTCGGGTGCCGGAGGGATGGCCGGTGACACACGGCCTCGGGGGGGCAGAGAAAAGCGGCCGGCCGGCAGATAAGTTACAAAATACACCGAAGCAGCCAAAAAGTCCTCGCGAGACCAACTAGTCTAGCTGTGTGTCTTGGAGGACAAATTTTGCTGAAATCGCAGCCTTTTCTTCCCGTAGCGCAGGGGAGTTTGGAAAAGCGACTGAGCCAATTAAGCTACCAAGTCAGTCGCGCTACGAGATGCGACCACAGCCGGGCATGGGTGAACCGCGAATGCTGTAAAGCCCAATGGCGGTATCCCACTCCGCGAACCTTCCCGGCAAAGTTTCTTTGCAGATCGTGTTCATCGGACTTCTCGGCAGCGAGGAATTAATAGAGTTAAATGTGAGGGGCAAATACCCGCCAATGGGATCTTTTCCCGCTAAAAAGGTGGGATGGTTTATACAGCTCCGATTATCATAGCAATAGCGGAACTGCGAGGACGAAAGTGACGGACAGAATTGGCGAGGGCGGCGATGGGCTACGTCGAGGTACGAATGTGACGGCGTCGAATGACTTTCCTCTGCACCTAAGCCGATTCACTCACCGCTGCGGGGTTGTGTTGCATAGTAAATGTAGTAAGCCATGCAGGGAGTTTGAGACCATGGCTGAGCTGAATGATCTCAGAGTGGCACTGCAACAGGCTGTGTGTTTACTACTCGTCGTTTAACTGGAGCCATAGAAATTGGAATTCGGCGAAAGGCTTCGCTATGCAGCTTCTCAGCTGATCTGCAAGGTGACGTGTTTGATATTCTGTTTCACAGCATGGCCAAGGCTGGCTGGCTCTCTCTTTTATCAGAAAGATACCGCATGTCGACCGTAAATTGCCTCCAAGATGGACTACTTTATCCTCCATTTCTTTGTTCCATTGACGTCTCATTCACGTCTGACAGCCCTGGGCCTTCAGAGTCAGTTGCTGGTTTCTGAGAGACATACTTTAGTACCCTGATAACCACACCTTCTTCACTTGCAGATTACCTTCTCCAACTCAGGTGTGCTGGAAGTGCAGATTCTTTTTTATGTATATGACTAAGCAAGCATAGGAACAACATTTCGACGTCTTTGATATCACCTGTCCAGCTCTTTTGAATCCTGCGATGGATCCGTTCAACAAAATGCGTCGACGGGCAAGGCGTCTACGAAACAGATTCTGGTGCTTGTTCGTAACGATGACATATGGTACAGGGGGAGATCTCTACTGGAATGTGCGGGATGGTGAGACGGAGAAAGTGATAGAGATTCTTGACGAACAGTCAGAGACTGAGTTGCCACGCCAGTGTAAAATGGCTCTTCTGGTTGCTGCTCAGGAAGGACATCTGGAAATTGTGACAGAGATCCTCAAAAGAGTGACGTGTGTCGAAAAGTCAGAAGTCGGCAGTCTATACGCGAATGCCCTCCAGGCTGCCGCGCAGGGAGGACACATGGGCGTCGTAAAAAGGCTTATCGCTGAAGGGGCAGATGTCAATTTCCCAGGAGGTGAGTATGGAAATGCACTTCAAGCGGCCGTTGTGGGAGGGAACGCAACAGTTGTGGAAGAGATCCTTCGCAACGGGGCAAATGTCAATGCTGAAGGGGGACAATATGAAAGTGCCCTTCATGCTGCATCAAGCGGAGGTAGCAAGGACATCGTGATGAAACTTCTCGCCAGAGGGGCCTTTGCGGACAAACGAGATCTTGACGGCTATTATCCTTTTGAACTCGCGGTTCGAAATGGGCACCAGAAGGTCGCGAATGAACTTCTTCCCCTGAAAGGATCGGTCTTCCTATCTTCAACAAAGGCATCCGAGTTGAGATCTTGCTATTCCAGTCCTGGAGAGCATCTCGAGATATCTTTTGACTCATCTCCCGTTATAAGGGAGATATCACAGACGGACTTCAAGAACAGAAATTACCCTCTCGGCCTCAAGGAAGACATGATGAGCGAAGGTGAAGAAGACTTTTTGGTAAACGACATCAACGCCAAGCGAATATTGTATGTTGCTAGGATAAAGTTTTTGATGATCTACCGCTGACGCCTTTTCGCTAGTCTTCTCGCGAACGGACAACCCCTTGGGTCGCAAAAGACTGGCTATCGTTGCTGCTTGTGGGAAAGAGTCTGGGTTCAGTCTTCAAGAGGAGAGCTGAGACGGCTATGGAAAGCCCATGATTGGACCATGAACAGAAAAGCTCGTCTGTCACAGTCTTCTAAAGAGGATTGTAAGTACTAGGTCTTGATAAAGCTCGTCTGCTAATATATTGAGGTTTCGTTGAATGTCGCTTCACCACCAATTCTGTCAAGCTACATGTAGCCGCCTCAGGATCAACGGCCGGTCCCAAGCCTTATTCTATTCCGAAAATAGTCGACACCCCAAAGACTCATGGCCTTCTATGGATCCTGACGAAAAGCGAAGCTCCCAGTGCTCCAGATACCCTACTGGAACACAAAGCCTTTTTTACCACTTCCGAATACGCACAGGAACCCCCTCGTGTCTTTGATCTTTTCCTCCCACTGATGGAAGAATTAGAGAGCGAGTGGAAGCAGACATTTGAGTCGGCACAAGCACACCTGTCAAAAACGGTAAGCCAAGCCTTTACTAAAGGACAGGATTTAGGCTCACGGGTTACAGCGTATGAGTTTACTCATCGCTCGAGGCTTAGATAGTAAACTGATTCAGGCCCTCTTGAAGGATTCCCTACTATGGGATGAAGTAGACGAAGTCTGTGCTAAGCAAATTACTGAGCTGCAGGATTTCCTTGATTGCTTTTGGAGATCAACTGAACCTCATGATCAGTTTTCCAATTCCGGCAAGCCCGTCTTTCCAAAGGATTCGCTCGAAATAGGGAAGTTGGACATCGAATCCTTTCGTGAGAGGATAAAGGAGCTACATGAATTCCAACGGAGACAGCTTCGTGGTCTGAAAGAAATGTCTCAGAGTCTTGTACAGCTGGTAAGCCGCTCTTCAGTCTTTGACGAGCCTATGTTAACCATAAGAAGGAGTTCAATCTCACTTCAATTGCAGAAGCGCAAATGGCAAGATCAAACAACTTGAGTATGAAGCGCCTTAGCTGGATCACTGTAAGCCACTCGCCCATTGTATGGTTTATCTGCTTATACAACCTCATAGTTCATCTTTCTGCCGCTCATGTTCGTTTCGGTAGGATAGCTATTCCTCCTTGACGCTTTAATTAGACCAACACCTGACTATATCTGCAGAGCGTCTTCGGTATGAATATTGAGGCTTTAGCATCTAACCCACATTGGAAATGGCCTCTTCTTTTGGCTATTCCAACTGTGGCTGTGGCCTTAAGTGTGGTCTTCGTCTTAAGGTGGATGGAGCATGTGAGACCCCCTCCCCCAACCCTATCTTTTCTCACGATCTCCTGCTTATCGTTCACGTCCAGCGAAGGCCTTTAATCTCAGACCTTGAGAGAGGGAAGCGGCAAGACTAGGCTCCAAGACGGAGACGGCGGCATGGTTCTCATACAATGGGAGGAAGCGTGATTGAAGAACACACGCACTGCGGGTGATTCTTGGCGGGTTGTCTGACGACGACAATTGGTATACTATATGCATGGAAAACGACGTTCACGCGAGGGTTAATTTTAGACTAGCTGTTATGTCGTATTCATCGTCTCATTCATCATAATGTACAGCGAAGTTCATCGTACATATCGACTCAAACATCGCCAACACCACTCAGGGGACGTCAAGTCGCGACGGCCTCACCTCAGCCCTAAAAAGGACCCAAAAATAGCAACCTTCACGACCAAACACATCCCAAACCGTATCTCCCCTTAACTATTCAAAGGTACTATTCCCTCTTTTCTCCCCTGACGTCATACCCCTTCCTTAAGACACTAGCCTCACGAGCCTCACGGGTAGGTCACTCGGCACCACCAAACCAAGGCAGAGGTACAAACATAACCCACACGCTGAGCCACCACACTCACCTGACACGGTCAGTCGCCCCGAGCGCCCCGAACCCGCCGTCACGGAGAGCACGTTGCGCGCACGCGACGTCGCAAACGGATCGCGGGATACGGTGCGGCATCGGCTGGGCGATGCTGTGCTGGTTTATATTAATATGGACGGGTCACCCTAAAACGAAAGAAATGCGAAACAGTCATGTTAGTTGTGCGCTGCGCATATGATCAGTTTATACCAAAGCAAGGCCAGGAGACAAAGTCATGTTAAAAACGGAAAACGGAAATTTACGAGCTCATGATACAGTATGGGTATGTACACTTGGTGAAGGACATATATATACAGCGACGCCGCTGCAGGCCGCCCTGCACGTAATATGACTCTCTCAGTCCAGCCCTCTCCTGCGCCCTTTTGCCGCCAAGGCCCGCGCCCCGCGCATCGCGTCGGGCTGCGGCTTCTGGATGCGGCTCGACGCCTCTTCAGGACTCCGCCTGCTACTCATCATGGTGCTGCTACTACTGCTGCTGCTGGTCTTTGCCGGGCTGGCGTCACGACGGCGGTGGTGGGGTATCTTTGGTGAGGAACTGCGAAAAGATGTGGGTATCGAGCGAAGCGAAGAGTATGTTTTGCTGTCGAGGTAAGACGCCGCGGGTGGCATGGAGGACGTCTCCGGCTTCGGCGTCGGGGTCTCTGAGGACTCCATCACGTCGTCGTCGAAGACGTCAAAGGGTAATTGGGTGGTGGGGAACTCATCGTCGCAGTCGTCTTCGTCGTCGACCGCGTGTTCCGGGTAGTAATGGTAGTCGGGTTGTTGCTCTTCCTCCACGGTGGACTCGCGCGTCGAACGGTTCTCGAGATCGGAGACCGACGTCGTCAGGGAGTCGGGGTCTTCGGACTGGGAGGTATCTTCCTCGTCGTCGTCGTCGTCGAGACACTGCAGGACCCTTCCTGCGAATCTGCCGGACTCTGATCCGGAGAACGATAATGTTCGCGCGGGAGTGAGGTTGTGGAGGACGTATTCATCGTGGTCGATGTCGATGGGGGAGGATGCAGAGGTTTCGGACTGCATGGTCATGGAGCGAGGGGAGGGAGGCAGCTCCGTAGTAATGGCAGAAGACGAGATGGAGGTGGAAATAGACAAGGGTTCATGCGTCATAACAGGCTTTTCGTCGTCATCGTGAAAGAAGGTAGGGCCGCCGTCCTCGTCGAGGCTGCTCAGGTTGGTGCTCGCCGTGTGGACGCTGCACCGATCGCTGAAAGAAGAGCCGGTAGACGAGGCCGAGTAGTAGCCCTGATGGGTGGTGTAGTCGTTGGGGAGGTAGCTGGAGAAGAGGCGGACGAGGGAGTCGAGGGAGCGCGAGCGGAAGAGCTGCAGGGCGTGGGACCACTGAGCGGTGCCGACGAGCTTGGGGTTGGCGATGATCTCGACTGCAGCGAGGTCAAGCGACGCGTTGAGCTCCTTCAGGCGCTGTTCCTTGCGATCGCGCATGAGACGGTGGAATTCGTCGGCGGTATCGGCGAGGCGGGAGATTTCGTAGACATCATGGTGGAAGGCGTCGGGGTCTTGGATGCTAGAGGGGATGGTGTTGTATTGGTCTTGCAGCTTGGTGGAGAGGTCATCTCTCTTCATCCCAAACTTCCAGAAAGGCCATGATTGACACGGTTCGTCCATGTTACTGTGGCGTAATGGCGGAAGGAGATGAAGATCGATTCGCGTGGAGAGGGCGAGTCGGAGTCGGGGGGTTGATGCAGAGGTGGTTAGGAGGGCGCAGGGTGATGGGGTGAAGAGTCGGGGGGAGGCCGTGGGCTTCGGTTTGGTGTACTTTGTTTATTGTGGGCTTTTTCGGACGACATGAGAGGCATCTAGATGAGAGTACGGGTGATGGGAATCATTTTGGCGGTTTGTCGGGAGAGGGTCGATTTGGGTCGAGGAGCGCAGGCGCAGGTTGTGCTGGATTTGACTGGGCTCGATGGTGATGACAATGGACAGTTTCAGTGCGTGGAGACGCCGAGGAGTGCGGGAATGAGTTGGTCGGGGGGGTGCCGGGACGCAATGTGGTGAAGCCAGAGTCGGACGAACATCAGGCCGACTCAAAACATCGCGAAAAAGTCACGTGCGGCCGGAGAGGAATGCAGAAATGACGGGAACGGGCAGGGCCAGGCAGCGCTAGCGCCATGTTGGGGCTAGCGGGGGGCCCTACACAGGCGCAGGCACCCCTGTCGCGCCTCCCAGAATCGGGACACGAGAGCCACCAGGGTGCAGCTTAGCCCTGCAATCTCAGGCTCCGCCACCTTAGCGAGCCAATGGGACCCAGTCGGACTTGTGGGTATCTTAAAGTGAACCAATGAGAGTGAGGGGGGCGGTATGCAGGGTGGCATGGCGTTTGACCAACAGCCAATGGGAGGCTGCGTTATTGGCTGCAAGTGTCAAAGTGTCTCCACCCATCGAAGCCACGAGACGACTTTTTTTTCCATTGGGAGCAGGCAGGAACGGGTGAGGTGACTGACTGGTGATAGGTGACTGCCCGGCCAGGCCAGGCTTTTCGGACTTTTCCAGCGGTGGAAGTCGCGGGCTGCAGGCTGAGAGAGCCTGAAGCGCAGCCTGAATTGGCATTGAACAGGGCCTGAAGACGAAGAAAGAAAGGGAAAGAGGGAGGAAAGACCTCGACCGGAAGGAATGGATGGAAGGAGGCTCAGTCATCATCCTCGCCAGACGAGCCAATCACACCGCATGACTCTTTTAGCACACCCAGGCTGGCAATACTGGCCGTTGGCTCACTCTCACTCATCCACGCTCATCCAACGCTCATCTGGATTCATCACAGTCCAACTGTTCGTCATTGTCTTCGCCCAGATCTCACACACCCGCCCAGCCTGATTGACACCGGTGTTGAATCCTCCGACAGACAGACACTCTCCTCATAAAGACAACTCTCCTTTCACGGCTGTCCCAGTCATGACGGCCCGTTGTCTCTGTGTTTCCACCTCTTCCCACACGGATGCCGACCCGTGAAGAAACGAAAGACACCAAAGTCAAGTGACTTTGCCTCCATATCGAACCTGGGTCAGGCTCTGGTCAACTGCCAGGGAACCGGCCGGCACTGCAGACCTGCAGACCAACTATCCATCGTCCCGGCTGCCAGTGCTTACGCCGTATTAGCACGCTCTCTGATCTCAGAGTTGGAGCCCTCTCATCTCCATCCGTGAGGTCGTTGGAGAGGCGCTGATTGTGGCTGGGCACCGTCAGCACAGCTGCCGTTTTGCCTATCTGACGCCCGGAAGTCGTGTCGCTCTGCCCATGCCCAAGTCACTCCACGCGGAAGATGCGCATCAGGGTACTTTGTGATCCCCATTGACCCCATCAACCAGGGCTGAAGCGCACTGCAAGATCTCGAATGAGAGCAACAGACGCTATTCCCCTCTGGCCATCCTGCAGCAGTTCAGCCCATCTCATCCAGTTGGCATCCGTTCTTTCCCCCCTCTCCCCAAGAAAGTACCCAAGGCCAGGCACCCGTGTCTGTTCTTCCACAGGGTTCGATGACTCTTTTTCTTCCACAACTGCACTGAGAGCTGCAGCTTTTTTCTCTCTCAACACATCTGTGCCAGATCTCATTCTGAGCACTGAACACACTCTCAGAGCATATCTGTCTCTTGTTCCCCGGCCATCGGGAGACGAAACAGAAACATTCAAGACTGCTGTGCCGTCCTACTGACTTGCGCAACTCACCACAATCTCACCGTGCCCATCGGTTAGTAGCTCTCTGCTGGTCAGGACTCTCCGTCAGTCACTCTCTGCTCTACTCTATACCTGCTGCGTATCGGCCGATTAAAACTACTTGAGGCTGAGACTCCATCAGCAGGCCCTCCATAAGGTCCCAAGGTCCCTCCCCGTCCCGTCCCCGTTGCACACACCGTTCCCGTTCATCCCCCCAGTGTACTGTCTCCCCCAATCCCACCCGTCACTCAGTCCATCAGTCAGTCAGTCAGTCACTGACTTGTCGCTGGTTTCCCGGTGGTTGACTTTGGGCTCATCTGTCCATCTGTTCATCTGACGTCCAGTCTCTGCTGCTCTCCGCCGACCTGCCTCTCCTCGCGCCCTCATTGTTGGCTGTGCCCTGGCGGCTCTTAATTCCGTGCTGTTCCTGCATTTGTGCCTCAAATCCACTGTCTCTCTCTTCTACTCCCCTCGCCTTTTTTCTTTTCCCTTTCCTCATTCATCCTCCCGCATCATCGCAACTCCTCCTCAGACCCAACGAAAGCGCCACGGAACCCACTGTCTGATCCCAGTTCTCCGCAACAGAAGAAGAAGACGACGATTAAATCTCACAACGCTCACCCTGCTTGCGCAACCGCCTTACCAAGCCTCAGCCCGTCTGCCTGGCCGACTATCCCCGGACAGACCACATCTTACTCACTCTCAATCCAATCCCATCCCGGCCATTCCTACACTACCAAACCCACCTTACCTTGCTTGCCTTTGCCGCCACTGCACGCACACACGCACGCAGGCAAAGTCCCCTCGCTCCAACCCGTCCACAGTCTGTGTGCGACTGAGTGAGTCCCCTCCGAGTCTATTGTAACCGCATCGCGCCATCCGCGCGCAACGCATGGACCACGACGACGGCTAGAGCCTCCGCCGCCATCCTCGTCGTCCTCCCAACCACCACCCATCCCCGTCTCTCATGGGCGACCGCCGCCGGGCCCTTGGCTCGGAGGAGCCCTCGGAGGAAAAGACGGAACCCTTCTCCCAGACCGAGATCGACCGGCGCCTGGGCAGCATCCGCGTCGACGAGCCCCTCGACCTGCCGCAGCCCGACGCCGTCCCGCTCGACCAGCTCCGCGTCGAGGAGCACCACCACAAGCAGGGCATCCGCATCCTCGTGAGGCCCCTCACCCGCAGCCGCTCCGTCAGCCCGGGCAACTACAACTGCCAGTGGCTCGCCCTGCGCGCCGAGGTCGCCTCCGAGCAGGAGCCGCAGCACAAGGTCCTCGCCGTCACCCAGACCTCCAAGGACATCAAGTTTTCCGTGCGCATCCCCCCGGAACGTTTGGATGATGACAACACGCCCCGCCCGCCGCTGTGGTGCGAGCTGTACTACGACCCCGCGAGCGACAACCAGATCCTGCTGAACCGCTCGGAAGTGCCCATCTCGCTGACCAGGATATCCGACGAGCCCTCGAGCTGCGGGTGGACGGTCAACCCCGGGACGCCAAAGGCGCTCTCGCCGGGCACATGGCGCATCAACGTGCGCGAGACGTCCGTCCTGGACTTTAGAGTGCTGGCGAAGCGCCCGGCGTTCTTCAGACAGGACTCCGACCTCAGATCGGAGCCAGACTTCGGCTCGGGCTCAGACGCCCTCAACGCCTCCGGCAAGCGCTCCTTCACCCTCGACGCCGGCGCCGACGCCGCGCGCACCGAGAAGAAGCCGCGCACTGCGGACGAAGAAGACGGCGTCATCATGTTCCTCCGCCCGGCCGCGAAACCCCTCGTCTTCCCCCTCCCCACGGAAGCCAAAACCACAACAACCACCGGCACAAGCAGCGCGCTCGTCCCCGCCAACGGCCACGCCCTGCTCGACATGCAGTCCCGCGAGACCGTCGCCATCCCCGGCGGCTGCGAGATTGACGAGTACACCGTCACCAAGCGCGACCAGATCGCCTCGACCGCGCTCTCCTCCGTCTTCACCGCCGAGCACTCCAACGTGCCCGACGGCATCGTCACCGTCAAGGTCCTCAAGACCCGCTCCGCCCCTTCAGCCGCCAACCCCGCCGCCAAACAGCAAGACAACAACGAGCGCAACGTCATCCGCCAGGCCGACATGTGGCTGCGCGAGTACCAGTCCCAGGACGACCTGCGCCACGAGTCCATCGTCAAGCTCTACGGCGGCGACGCGCGCTATCTCTCCCTCTACATGGAGCACGTCGACGCGAAAGACCTCGCCGCCAAGGGCGTCTGGCGCAATCATCTGGATCACTCATTCACCGGCACCCGCGCCGACGCCTTCGCCATCTTGCGCGACATCGCCGGCGCGCTGCACTACCTGCACAGCAAGTCCCTCGTGCACAACGACATCAAGCCCGCCAACATCCTCTACTCGCCCTCCCGCGGCGCGGTCCTCTGCGACTTTGGCCTCTCCACGCACACCTCGGGGCCCGTGACCACGGGCGGCACGCCGTACTACATCCCGCCCGAGTTCATCGGCAAGAAACTCCGCGGGCCGCCGTCGGACGTGTGGGCGCTGGGGGTGACGATGCTGTACGTGCTGGGCAAGATCTCGTTCCCGGACGCGCGCAGCCGCAAGGGCGCCGGCGCGCAGGTGGGCGGGCGCCCGCTGTACTGGATGATCGCGGACGTGAACCGGACGATGGCGCCGCCGCCGATGGGCACGCGGCCGCCGTGCGCGGCGGTGGATATGATGTACATCTGGCTGAGCGAGGTCGCGCAGGCGAGGGAGAAGCTGTACCCGCGCGACAGGCTGGAGAGGCTCGTGAGTGATATGTTGATCCCGCTGCCGAGCCAGCGGATCACGATGGCGCGGGTGATGAGGGAGCTGTTCCTTGTGGAGCAGAGCGCTGTCAAGAGGTGATGATGTGAGGTTTGTTTTTGCATTGGATTTAATACCTGTGTTTTTTTGATGTTTTGACGAGATGGATGTTTTGCGAGAGATACCACTGATGTTGGGCATTTGTTTTCATTTCTTTGTTGGTTTTTGCATCGAGTAAGTCGTTTTTGTCTTTACATGGTCTTGTCGTCGTTGACGCGAACCAGACTTGCATTTTTCTGCATCATACACTGTTGCGCACATCTCATATACCATATACAACCAGCATATTGCATCATTAGGATATTTCCTCATTGTTTTTATTTTGCATCCACGGTGGGCGGATGGATGGAGGGGCTGGTATCAAGGCATACAACTCATGTACATTAGAAAGGGTCGTCACACACACGCCCACGCACATAACACAACACGACACAATTCTCATGCTCTCTCGTGATGTCTCCCCTTCACGTCACATTTCTGTCCCCCTACCTGTCGCATCACATACTTCACAGACTCATCCCAAAGACGAAGGCCATGCTCAGACCGACGATGGACGTGAGCGCAACCGCGTGAGAACTACGTCCCGCTGCGCCACTGCTGCCGCCGCCGCCCGAGGTCGAGTTGCCGCTGCTGTTCCCGCTGCCGCTGCCCTCCTCGACGGTGCCGTTGGCGCTCTGCTCCTTGACGGTGTACACCTCCACGCCCTCCGTCTTGCACTGGTCCGAGGGGAGCGTGGTCGCGTTGGCAGTAAACCGGATGTCGGCGCACTAAATCCCATCGTCAGCTCATGTTCTCCCCCTCCCAGTTCTCCATTTTCAATTCCACCAAAACCCAGGGGAAACGCGGAAAACAGAGGATAACTCACGTTGTAAAGGCCAGCCCCGGCGTCGCCCACCGTCACCACCTGGATACTCCCCTTCTGCCCCTCCTTCGCGGGCGTCGTGAGGTTGAGCTTCTCGACGCAGAGCACGCCGCTGCCGGTGGCGTTCCAGAACTGCGGGGTCAGCGTGATGTTGTGCGTGGTCACGTTGCCGTCGGCCTCGATGCCGAGGTTGATGAAGACGTAGGTCCAGTCGTGGTGCAGGTCGAGCTCGAGGGAGCCGCCGTCTAGGGGCCAGTCGGTGACGTTGCCGGTGCCGTAGGGGACGCCGGCGCCTTTTGGACTTGTTAGTACTGGTGATGTGGAGGAGTGGCCATATCGAGGTGGAAAGCAGAAGGGCAAGCGGGTGAAGAGAACGTACATGGGTACAACCACTGCGAATATCCCGTCTCGTTCGTGCCCTTGAGGGTGTCGGCTCTCCAGGAGGGGTAGGCGAGGCCGAAATGCGCGGCGGCCAGGTTGGCGGCGCCGAGGGCGAGGAGGAGGGTCTTGGGGGCCATTTTTTGTGTTTGATTCCTGCTGATCTGCGTGTGGAGATGGTGAAGGTTAAGTTTGTTCAGCGGGTCGGTTGATGGGACAAGATCTTGCCAAGACTCGAGACTGGAGAGTGTGCGATGCCACACCAGAAGACAGAGGCACTCGCGGTTATATATACCCTTCCAACATTACCTAGCTGCTTGTTTGCATGTGCTGTAACCCCCGCAGAGGAGCGAGCATGCAGATTGCGCTCAAAAATGTTTTAGCTTATCCTTCCCATTGGGAAAGGTAAGGTAGGCAAGGATGGGAGCTGTTGCTGCCCTTTGGGATGTGGTCGGTAGACAGCTAGTCGGGCAGGCCAGCTGCGAGAAACCTGCGCAGGAAAGAAACGCCACAACGAAACGAAAGAGCAGACCTATGGCAACGTGCCATCTCTGCTGGGTTCGGCAACACGTCTAGACCGGGCTCGCATGCCTGCTGTCACTGGGAGAGACGCTGTAACGGGAAGGTGAACCAATCTCTGCCACCAATTGAGCAAGTTTTTCTTATTTGCTGCTAGCGACGAGCTCCCGACTAAGCTTAACGAGAAACCACAAAGACGGGATGTTGGCAGCTGCGTTAAGCTTACATGGATGGGCTTGATGGCGAAGAGAGGTTCGTGGCGGGTGAGTCAGATTGGGGCGGGGCGGGGCGGCGGCGTAAGGCGGCGCTAGCGCGGATGCAAGTATCTTGCTCAAACTCACGCAGCGCCCGAATTGGGGGCGTTCAAGGGTTGTTGCTGCTGGGGAGATGATGGCATGTTTGGATGGGATGGGCAGGAGATGTGAGTCTTGGGAGGGGGTTGGAATGCGGGAGGAATTGTGTTGACTTGGCTGCTGTCCTCTCTTTCATGGTCAGTAACTTCGCTGGCTGGGGTTGATACGGTTCATGGAGTGTGGTAGATTTGGCAGTTTGGCTTGACGTATTGAAGGTGAACATCGCCGTAGATTGTAGAGAATATGAAGAGAGTGCCAAGCGAGGGATGCTGCCCTCGAAGCGTTCGAACCTAAAGGATGTCAATCACTCGAACAGGCGCAATGCCAGCCTTCCGCCACCTCATCGCCCGGTCCAGCCCCGTCACAGACATGGAACGCGAACCCCGAAGCAACGACGGGCCCGAAAGACATACCCAGCCCGGCCCCTCGCCCCGGACACCACGCGGAGCAAAGTGGGGACCTTGCCGCCGCGCCGAGGACACCCAGAACAGCCCCGAAGCATGTCTCCACCAGCATGATAGTGTGGCAAGGTCCAAGGAGAAGGGGAACGTGCGACGTCCGGAGTCTACTTGGCTTGACCCCGCAGACCGGCCCTTATTTCAACCTCACCTCCATGAATATTTCCGTGGCTTGAAACTTTCCGGATATCAGAGTCTTGCTGCCCTCTCCTCCATCACCATTTCGTCTTTTGAGCATTTCCAGCTCCACGCTGACATCCAGCTGCTCCGCACTGCCAGCAACAGTTGCAAACTGATCATAGGAGGCACACGCGGTAGCGGACTTGATCCTTATCTCGTCATCTTTAAATCTCGGCATCGTCATCGTTCGTTCGCTCGGTCGCGAGGGAAAGGTCCCGTCACCATCCCCAACCACAGGTCATAATCTACGTATTCGCGGCCTTGATCATCAGCTGAGTCAGCTGCCACATGCGCCGATGGTTTAGTGGTAAAATTCTCCGTTGCCATCCAGCAGCGTCGGGGAGCCGGGGGTTCGATTCCCCCTCGGCGCAGTCTTTTGTCCTCCTATGTGATTTTTATGGTTTTATGGTTTGTTCTTCGTTTTTGAGGGCCATGAAGGCCAGGCAGGTCGGTAATCGTTCGATCTCGACATTGGAGCAGAGGCTTGCGATGAGGATAGTTTAGTTCTGCGACAGCTAGCACGATGGTTCCCATCAACGGTCATGGGTCGGCAGCCTGTCGTATTGCGCGCAGCACGTTGGCCATCCTCGTACTGAAGCAGTCCATGTCAGCGTAGGGTGGTGTCGAACCAGTCGGGGGGTCGTATGGTTCACAGACACGAGCTGGCGACGCCCCAGTATCGTTGTCGGGTCTGAAGCTGCAACATTGAAATTTATGTATTAAAGTGCTCGCCTCAGGGGCCAACATATTGTGTTCGGGGAAGCTATCTGGCGCAGCCTCAGCCTGCCCATTGAAGGTCTTCTGTCAAGAACAGACGGATATGACGATGATTTGCGTCTCTCGGCGAAAGACACCCATATATCGAGCTCTTTCAACGGCAATGGAGGGGCAGAGACTCGAACCCCGACGACTGACTCAACGTAAGGCGACCAATAATTGACTTCCAATTGCTCGTCCCTCGAGGAGTTGCATCATCTTTTCAAGGAAAACTCGACAACGAGGCGGCGCGATGGATGGAAACACGATGGGGAAGCCGCGGCGGCCTCAAGTCACTTTGTATCTTTTTCCTGCAACCAAGTGGGGGCATGTCAGCTTCACCAGCCAATAGTACCTCTCCCCGCAGGAATCCGCCTACCGTTCAGCCCTGGCTTGCGGAGGGTGCTTGTATGCCTACTTATATGTTGGAATTCCAGATGGTCTACAGATATCGAAGTGCTCACGATAGAATGGGAAGTGGTATAGATGGGATAGAACAAAGCAGTAATTCAGTATTTGATATAACTATTAGTTTTCAGTCGTTTGAATCGATACAGTAGCTCAACTACTGGCTGAGCAACCGCCTCCCAATCATCCGTGACCTAACATTTAATCCATCCAACAGGTAGACCATCCCACTGCGGATGACGCACGGGCCACTGAGGCCAAATCGCTGCGCCCCCAGGAAAACGGCACAGGCAGCGCCCATCCAGCCAGTAGGAAAGCTTCTGCCTGAGTCACTGGGTTGTTCAAATCCCCAGGCATCCCTCACGCATCTCGAATCTGACCTTCTTTCTTTCCTCATCCGACTTACACTTACTCTACCTATCTTCAAACATCGCCTTCATCTTACTATTGCACGCAAGCTTGACATCGATTCGGATCATCGATACAACCCTTTTCAAGCTTTCTCAGCACCCCGCCCTCAATACCAATGCGCTGGTTGTAGAAGCCGCTTCGCCCGCCGCCAAGATGGCCTTGCACCATGATCCACCGGTCAACGACCGTCTGGACCAATATGACTACGACGGCGATCCTGGCCGACTCGTGCCTGAACCGCCCTGCCCTTCCGCTCTCGAGATTGACGAGCGATCCGATTTGATGCGACTGTCTCTGCACATTGGTTGTGCTTCGGACGGATGCGATGAAATGGATTGCTCGACGATCACCGAGAACGACTACTCCGACGACGGGGGATACCATATTGCACCCTCATGGACATCGCCCGTCGACTTCAACATGCTTCCGATCTTGGGATCGCTTCCGAATATGATGCAGAAGGTAGGCTAACAATTTAGAGATTTCATCAACGCTCTACGAAACGTAGGCGCTAACACACCTACCAGTCTCAGTTGCCTGCACATGCGATGACACGTCGGTACCGACGGATGTCGTGCTGCAACCCAGACATCAGCGTCAGCTACTTGTCGATGTTTCGACGAGCGGAAGACGCTGCAAGATGTGACGTCGCGACGAGCGACATCGCAAACGTGGACCCTTTCCGCGCCGGCGGAAAAGGTGCCATGATTCAGGGTCGCGAAGATCACAAGCAGGAGACATTTTGCTTGAGATCTGATCCTCCCAGCGCAGCTTGCGCAGCCATGGCTTGCCAAGACTTCCATATCACGCCTCGGCGCCAGGAAGTCATCGGCATCATGAAGAACCTGTCGGTTGCTATCTAATATGGTGAAGATGACGCCGGTTATTCGCGCAGGTAAGGCTTCGACTCGACTTACTTCTCTCCCTGTGACATGCGACTAACGCTCGCCCCTAGGTTGGCCAAGGACCTGAGTACGTCGTAAAACTTCTCGAGCGGACATCTAAACTTGATGACTCCAGATCCCACATCGCTCACACACAACCAACGCCATTTGTAAACCGCTACGCTCAGCACATTGCCGAGTCCACCACCATCTACGACCACAGCTACAACCACTTTGACCAGCAACCTTCAGCTTCGCTCACGGAGTTGATCGAAATGTCTGCTGCAACTTCCACAAGAGTTGGCAGACTAGAAGGCGATAACACTACCCACACAGAGATTGACCCCCTCCTCACTACCACCATGGCAGTGACTTCCACCGGCTGGCCCTACGGGGCCCAGCCCGGATGCGCTGCACCCCACGACACAATGGAGAACATGTTCACACAAGGCTCGCCTCTCTCCGAGCTCTACGAGTCGCCGGACGAGATGGCCTGGGCCACCTACATTAACGAGGAGATGCTCGCCCCCAGCGACTTCACCATGAACTACCCCTACCCCACGGACACCAGCTCCCCGGAGGACATCATCAATGACCCCACCGTCCAGTACGACGTCGAGCAGAGCCTCTTCTCCTTCAACGACCCCCTCCCAGACCTCTCGGCGTCGTCGGACTACCTCTCGGGCGACCAGCTCTCCGTCTCCTACTTCGGCAGCGCAAACACCTCCCCCTTCGAGCAGTCTCTCGACTACATCCCCGACGACATGGACTTCCTCCAAGACCCAAGCTCCATGCCCGTCTGGCCCCTCTCCTCCACCAGCGCCTCCCCGCTCCCCACGAGCACCACCTCCCCGACCTCCCCGGACGCCGCCGACCACCCCTACCGCTGCACCACCGACAACTGCACAAAGACCTTCCGCAAGGAGGCCCAGCTCAAGCAGCATCAGCGCGTCCACCGCAAGTCGCTCGTCTGCACCATCTGCCGCGCCGAGCGCCACACCGAGCACAAGTTCGCCCAGGTCCGCGACCTCGAGCGGCACCTGCAGGCGCGGCACCCCGAGGTCGCGCAGACCGCCAACGTGCGCTCCGAGATCCGCGAGTGCCCGTACCCCGGCTGCGACCACCGCGGGCGCAGGGACAACGTGTCGAGGCACCACGAGAGCAAGCACGGCAAGAAGCTCAAGTGGAAGAGGGGCGTTCCCCACGTGGTGGGTTAAAAGGAGGGTCCTTTTCTCTCTGATGGGTAATGAGAAAAACACACAAAAGAGCGATGTGAGTTTCTGGCGTTTGTTGATACCTGCATTTGTTTTGATTTTATGACCGGTTCGGTTTGGGATATCTCGGTAGCATAGTGCATTTAGACCAATACATCTCAAAATAACTGCTGGGTCCCGTGGGTGAATGTTGAGGCTGCATTGAGGTTGCTCGCCAAACTGGAGCCGCTTCCTGTTGCGCCACGCGTATGGAAGTCCTTAAAAAAACGAGACCTGCTGCAGCAGATAAGCATTGAGAGGTTGGGGCCACAATTGGGTATTCGCAGCATCCTGACCCTCCTCAAGACGGGTCAACTCTCTTACTCCGCGGAGCCATCTTCAACTTCATCACCATTCCCTTGCCAGCTTAGCATCAGTCTCACCTCTTCGTCACTTCAACCCGAATCACTGCCGCTTCCGTCTCCAGGGGCAGGGAACGAGTTGCCACATCCCACACCTTCAACTCTACCATCAATAATTTTTAAGTGGAACTGTGGTTTTTTGCTACAGGAGAAAGACCCAAGCATTCACTCGGGTGATAGCAAAATACGGCCGATTTTTGAGCGGACATGCTTGCCCTTGCTCCACTATTACGCTTGATGTTACGAAGATATGTTCTTTTGGATACCCTCCATCTCCCTCGTATCTCGTTCGTTTCTTCCCGTTACCACTTTACTTGCTTGTCACTCACCTTGAACACTGTGATAGAGAGAACCAGGAATTAGGATCTGTGCGCTGAAAACCTCTTTTCAGGAACCTTGAGGACTGGCGGCGGCCGGGATTTCTTCGGGTTAGGGTTACGAAAGTTTCGACTACAAGTCCCCTTCTGGTCTACCTCCATGGCTGGAGATGGCTGGACAAGATGTACCTCGCCGCCACCAAGAAACAGGTTTTCCGTGCCTGACCCGGAGATAAATGTGCCCCTGAGTCACGAATCCGTCAGTGTCCGCTGTAGATGGTGCCTGGCCACGTTGTGGAATACACTTTACGGCTCCTGAACAGACCGTGGGCGGTTCCTGACAAAGTACTGCCAATTCAGGTTAGCCAGAGTTTTCAGGGGTTGGCTATCTCTGAATTTGTCAGTAAATGACCAACCTGGCAGTTTAGTAGACGTCCTTCAGCCACATTGTGGGATACAGTATACGGCCCCTGGGCGGCCCCTGGACGGCCCCTGAGAAAGTAAAGCCAGTACCCAGGGGTTGAGTTGACAACTCTGCCCGGCTGTTCAGCGAGTGAGAATAGCACCTGATCTGTAGTCTAGTCTGTCTTGCGGATGGGCCTTTCAACGTCTACTCAACTCCTTCTGTGTGCAACTGTTGCATCTTTTGAAAGTCCCAGCTCTTTGCAGTGCTGTCTTAAATCCCGTTTTATCAAGCGGTAGAAAGACCACTTCCGTGCATCCCTTTTCTTGTCAAACCGTCCACAACCACACCTTTTCAGAGACTTTGCAACTGTGTATGAGGGCTTTACGGCTTTGCCACCTGGCATGAAGTTCCGGGAGCTCGCAAGTCTGCCAAGTGACACAATGTCCCACCTCTTCGACTTGTAAACTCTGCAGTATGACCAATCCTCCTCGCTTTGACTTCAAACACGGGCTTCAACTGCAACTCCGCATAGATGTTTGACTTCACACGCAAGGTGGTGTATCATGTATGGACTCTCCATGTTTGGTAATGGTATACAGATGGGACTGAAAGGTGAGGAGGAGAGAGGTTGCGGCCAGCCTTCAGAATCCTTTAAAATGCGTGCCTCGCTCCCTCGTCCCGGGCTTTCTTTCTCTCCTTCCGTGTCTCACTTCGTTGAATCGTACTCAGGTCTTACTTCTTCACGTCGCTATTTTACAAACCGCTGTTCATCTCGCCACTCACTACTTTACTCTTCACTCTGGTTACTCCACTTTGATACATCCTCCAACTATCTATTGTTCGGCTCCTTAGTCGTTCAACTTCACTATCGTTCGGCTCCTCAGTCGTTCACCTTAACTATCGTTCGGCTCCTAAGTCGTTCTGCGTCGTTACTTGTAGTCCGGCATTATCATCATCCGGTACCTTTACCACTACACCATACCAGCTCGCATCATGTCTTCTACTACCATGATCGCCAACCGTACCTCCATCATCCCCGCCAACCGCTCCGTCGTCCGCCACAAGCTAGGCGTAGATATGACCATCACAGCCGGCGGAGAGGTTACCGGTTTCGAGCTCACAGACGCTACAAACAAGACCCTTATTTGGACTGGCTGCGCCAGCACGGTCAAGATTAGTTGGAACAATTATGGAGTAAAAGACGTCGCAAACCAATATCGGGATCTTCTCAGCTACCTGCAGACGTTCACGAAAGTTTCTTATTACACTTGCCCAGAAGTGCATGACTTGCGCTGTACCGTCAATATCACCTTCGAGAACAGCGACCAAGCCACGATGGCAGTCAAAGACCTCGCGCACCACTATTCGGAGTACCTCCTTTGTGATCAGGCCTTCGAGGCCCGTGTTGGAGTACCCTACGACCAGATGAGTACGATCTCTAAGAAATTCAACGAACTTCATGTCCTCGCCCTCCGCGACAGAGTGACCACCGAGGTCCAGCGATCAGAGACCATGGCCACTATCACCATTACCGGCTACAACAGACTGGCTGTGACCAACATGAAGAGACAGCTTGCGGAGCTCATTGAGCAAAGCACCATCCTCGACACCACTACCATTCGCGCTCCCGAGATCCAGTTAGAACGTACTTGCATGGCCTGCTTTGACATCCTCAAACGGCCCGTTCTGCCATCTTGCGGACATCAATCACTTTTCTGCGCCGAGTGCCTGCTCGAGACATACAGAGCCAACCACAAGAAGGGGCCTCTCCGCTGCACCGAGCAGAACGACAACGGAGAGTTATGCAGCCAGCCTATCGACCTCGAGTGTCTCGCCAACAACCTACCTCCAGCACTCTTTGAGGATTTTCTCGACCTGGCCGCTAACGCCTTCGTGGCACGCAACCCTAATCTTGTACGCCACTGCCCCACACCAGGGTGCCGCCAAGTGTACCAGCCAACTCCTAAGACCGAAGGCTCCATGGGCACACCAAAGACATGCCCGGATTGTCTGGTGCGTCTCTGCACCACGTGCGGCCACCAACATGACAACGACAGTCCCTGTGAGTCCATGATAGACACAGATCTCGAACAGGCCAAAAAAGACCTTGAGGCCAGAGATTGCCCCGGATGCTCAACTCCGATAGTCCGATATGAGGGTTGTAACAAGGTTGAATGCCCAGGATGCGGTACTTTCATCTGTTGGTCATGCATGAAAACGTACACCACCGCCCTTGCAGCCTACAACCATATGGTAAAGGATCACGGCACCGTCGGCGAGGGATATATTGCCTTCGACGACAACGGCGATCCCATCCTGCCTGAAGATGAGCGAATCGAGAATGAGCTTGCAGAACTCCAATTCCCCGTCGACGACGAAGATCTCGAGCCCGCACAAGACGACGGAAGGGATAGGGGTGAGGGGCGTATGGAGGCGCGCGTCGAAAAACAACAACCACAACAAGAACGACCGCTCGCTCAGGATCTTCCCGTCGGCCAAAGCTGGTGGTAGATCCTCGCCCATACGTCCTCCCTTAGTAGTTTCCTACTTTGGGTTGTCACCGCCCCTCTTACATAACAACACCATTCTGCCAAACCATGAATGGACCGAGTACAAGCTTGCCGAGCAAGAGTATCTCGACGACAACAAGTATTACCTCGACAAAGATCAATATGAGGAATACGCAATGCGACTCGAGCCCACACAAGACAACAGCCGGGATCGCGGGGAGGAAAGGATGGAGGTGCGCGCAAACAAACAACCACAACCACAACCACCACAAACAATGCCGGACGACGCCGCCAACAACTACCATTACAACAATGGCAACTCTGACGGAAAGCAATTGATTCCTGACGATGTCACAGGGCGTCCGGCCGCCGCACTCGAGAGTTACCCAGGCCATGCCTTTGGTAGTCTCACACCCACCCTCCCTCTGACAGGTTTTTTTCCCCTTCGGGGTTTTTTTCTTTTTTTTTCCCCTTCGGGGTTTTTTTTTTCTTTCTTTTGGCCCAACAATACAAACCACAACCACCACCGCCAAACAAACGTTCCCTAACCTATGCAATGTGATGTGATGATGCTTGTCAATGTGTGTAGATGTGCGTAGATGTGTATTATATGCTTCCATTCCGTGATGCACCCCACTGGATAACCGGCGCCTTCCATTGTGGCTTGCGTCTTACTTTGCCGTAGCAACCTTGCATGATCACGCCATCCAATTATTGAAGCTATTCAGAAAAGTGTGGCTCTCTCACACTGTGCCTCTGGCATACCCCTCTCTCGTCCTTCTTGCCGTCCTCTCTACCGCCAGCTCTATCGCTATCCCTGTCGCCCTCTCCTGTCGCCCTCTCCTGTCGCCCTCTCCTGTCGCCCTCTCCTGTCGCCCTCTCCTGTCGCCCTCTCCTGTCGCCCTCTCCTGTCGCCCTCTCCTGTCGCCCTCTCCTGTCGCCCTCTCCTGTCGCCCTCTCCTGTCGCCCTCTCCTGTCGCCCTCTCCTGTCGCCCTCTCCTGTCGCCCTCTCCTGTCGCCCTCTCCTGTCGCCCTCTCCTAACCACCTTCCCTGGCGTCCTGTCTGTTGTTCTCTCTGCCCCCTTATCTGCCGTCTTCTCTGTCGCTCTCTGTGCTATCGCTCCATTGACGAACCTTTGTACTTCGCCCTTGACTATGTAATTCCTTTGCGTGAAGTTGCATGTAGATACTACATACTAAGCCTTCGTCAGATATGCAAAACCATGGGATGTTACACGTCTGGCACGATCGCAGCCCGCCCGACTTCGAACTACGATCTGAGCCTTGAGTGTGGCTGCTTGGCGCTTTGATCAGTCCAATTGTTTGTGAAGGATCTAAAGGTCACAGGTGCAAGGTGCAACTCAATGATGGCTAAGCAACCCGGAGGATAAAAGCCCAAGAGGTTCCTATAAAGAAGGCCAATGAAACGCGCCTGTGAAGTCTAGCTTTTTAAAAACATCGCACCTCCGCCTCACGTGCCTCTTGTTTTCAAGCCCTGTATGTTCTTCAGGTAACGTGCCGCGTTTTTGGTCCAGCACTCAGGGTTGCAGAGGGGAAAATCTCTGTTGTTGTCAGCCTATCCACCTCTGTTCAGGTAACTGCTGTACTCAGCATGGTCAAACTCCTTTCGTCTCGAGTCAGAGACATGGTACACACGCACGACAACCCTCGCGGGGGTAACACCTTGTCTCCAAATGAATCGTCTCTGGAGAACGGTCAACTATGCCGGGATTGTCGTCGGGGGCGATGCGCCAAAGGTGATGACTGCGAGTTCAGTCATGACAAGAGCCTGTTCAAGAAAACTGCCATGAACCTCTGCAGGCTTTTCTCGAGAGGGTCCTGTCGCTTTGGGGAGGAGTGCAGTATTCCACACGTTGACGTGCCGTTGGACCAATTCGCACGTGTTCGGCCTACGCAGGCGCGTTGTCGCAGGGGAAGTGAGTGCCGCCTTCCCCATGGGGACCCAGAAGAGGATACTGTGAGTATCACACTACATTTCGGTTGCATCAGACTATCGCAAAAGCTCACTTAATCGCGCAGCTGTCCACCAAAACCGATTCGCGCACACGACAGTTGCTCGGAGCAACCTTCACTTTCGGCGCCGGGGCATCGGTCTGTGATGTTACTCTACCTGACAACTCAACCGCCGTCATTCTCAACATTGTGGGACCATGCAGTACGACGGCAGTTCAATTACTGTTAGAACAAAGGGGCTTCCATGTCCCTCTCACGTCCATCAAACTGAGATCCCAAGACTCGGGGCTCAAGTACGCTGTTGTCAACGGCCGAGTCCCTGGGTTTGCGGAACTTTTGCGCGCGAACTTTGAGAAGAAGAAGGCACACGGCGTGTTTTCAGGGATTAAAGTTGTCACCGAAGAGATAGATCCGATTATGGAAAAAGAGGACTTTCACGTTGTGACTAGTCGGAAGATTAAGTGCTCTTGGCCAAAGGACCGCGACGGATCTGACTTTGCATGCGAAAAAACCGAGCTTGCAATGGTGGAAGCTATGCTGGCAGCCGTCGGCGAGTTGGAAACACGGCTTTCTCTCGGGTCAGACGACGAAGATCGTATGTTGGAATCAGTGGCTTGGTTTGAAAGAGCAGACGACGCCAAGCGAGCAGCCCAGACCTTTGACAGAACCCCTCTCCCTTTCAACTCGTCTGGGCTACTCAGTGTGAAGCAAATTCACTCCACGAGCTACAAGCTTTCGACCCGAGTTTTCCAGAGTCTTATCAACGAGGTAAAGAACCGTCATGACCACAGAGATGCCCAGGTCAAATTTCAAACATTTTGCAACACGGAAGAACACACCATACTGTGGTTGGAAAGCGACAATCTTGATGCTCTGGAGAGGAAACGACAAGCAATGGATGGCCTATTTGCTGGTAAGGTCATTTCCTACTCTGCGGACACCGACAGCCCGGTCTGGAGTCCGTATTTTGACGATAAGGCCTTCCGAAACCGGATTCTCGATCAGATTGCAAAGGACTGTGGTGTAGCATTTCACTGTCTCCCAGTCAGCAAAGAGATCAAGCTATACGGCCGGCCTGAAAATATCAAAAAAGCCAACGAAGCTCTTTTCCTGAGTTTTGAAAACAATTTCACAGCCGTCCACCCTATTGCTCTCAACGCAAATGCCTTTAATTGGGCCATCAGAGGAGGTTTCAAGGCTCTCTGCGAAGCCCTTGGTCAAGACACTGTGAGGTATAAGTCCGTCTGGCCGCCTTCCCAAATTAATATCGCAGGGCCAATCTCCTCTTACGAACGAGCCATAGAAATGATTTCTCAGAGGTCAACCTTCAGAGATGCGGTTGAGAGACCATGTTCCGTGTGCTGGACCGAGCCTGACCAGTTCCTGACGACGACGTGCGGTCATGTCTACTGCTTGGACTGCTTCCAGAACTTTTGTCGAGCAGGAGATACAAATACTGGAGGCTTCAAAGTGGCCTGTATAGGCAATAATGGCCTTTGCAGATCCGTTATCGGCCTTGATGAACTCGCACAATATCTCCCATCAGTGGCGTTCGAACAACTCCTCGCGTCATCAGCCGAATCATATGTCAACAAGCGTCCCGAGGAACTCCGGTACTGTCCTACGGCAGATTGCGGATACATTTACCGAGTCAGTTCCACCGAGAACCCAAGATATTTTGAATGTCCGAGCTGCGGCAAAGCGACATGCCCTTCATGCCACAACTCTCATCCCGCAATATCCTGTGCGGAACGTCGGGACAAGATTGCCAGGGGGGACGAAAAGAAACTGCGAAGGTGCAAGCGGAAGCTTGGGGTCAAAGACTGCCCCAAGTGCCACGCGCCTATCGAGAAGTGGTCTGGCTGCAACCACATGATTTGCAGATGCGGAGCACACATCTGTTGGGTATGTCTCGCCAACTTCGAAACAGGCGATGAGTGTATGTTGCATATACGTCAGAAACATGAACCGATCTCGTATGCTTTGTTTGGTCTGCAACAACTTTGAAGACTTGCGTGTCGAGAAACTTAGCGTCACTATGCTTTTGAACAGTTGGGCTATGGCTTTGGAAGAGAACAACGACAGCGAACTGTAAGTAGAAAGCGCTTGTTGTGATGAAAGACCTGGCGCCTTATTCTCACAAAAGTTTTGTAACATAATCAAGAACGTCAAAGGGAGCCTGGCAGTGTTGCTATTCTTCATTGTGTCAATAAAGGGTAGCTGTTATTGTTATACTACAAAGGGACAAGAGTTGAGATCCCCAGAGAAAACAACTGGAATTGTTCAAAGGCACCCCGAGCGAAATTTTCGGATTGCCTATTTATTCCAGACACAACCTCGAGCTTTTATCATCTATCTCAACTATACAATCCAGCAGCAACACAAAAACACGATAACCACTCCCATTCCTCCTCTTCAAATAAGTCTAGGCGTCTTCTGGAAAGCACGCCTTCGAAAGTCACTAGCCGGCTCACGTTACTTGATACATACCGAACAGTTACAATGCCTGTCAAATCTGCGTATGAAGGACTTAAGCGCTTCTTGAAGGGCGAAAAGGAGGAGGTTGATATTGCGAAAATTCGACTTGCGAGAAAGCCGACGTGGCCCACTCCCCCTCCATCTCCTCGTTTGCCCCCTCCTCCTCAATCTGTCGTGGTTGAAGCTCCTTGCCACGACGGAAGACCTTGTTTTGCAGTATGGGCCTACACTGACAAAGACGTGAGGTCGCCCGCAGGACCTGATCTTTCAAACATACCGCTTTGGGTCATCCGAGTTTACCACACCTTGCCCGAAGCCGTGTTCGCTTACCACGTCCGAGACACGGCCGAGAAGATCTACACACTTGCGCACACGAGATTCGACGCCTTGGACAAAGCGTACCTTGAGCACCCCAAGTACCGATACCGCATCGAAGTCATCGGGCTGCCCCTTCCAGAGGACACCAGCGATAGCGAGCGCATCGAGCGGTGCATGGAACACCACCGCGCAGAGGTTGCAGCGCGCCGGATCACAGGCAGTGTGTTCTTTATCCAGACAGCCGTTCAAGGTGACTACAAGCATAGGATCGCGATCCGCCGGCTGGACGAAGATAGACTGGGCGAGATCTACACCGGCGGTAACTTTTTGGATGTGTCCTTCGATCCAAAAGCAATGGTAAGACCAAGCGATCCGGAGATGTCACAATATGGCTCGTCGCGGTTTGCAACTGCCAATGTGGGAAGGGTGTTTGGAGCTTTTAGGCAGTCGATCCGTTGGTTTTATGATCGATACGTGGACAACGGCACAATCTACCGTGACATGGAGACATGGAAGTTGGAAGCAGCGAAGGGAAAATGATGATGTCTTTTTAGAGTCTGCAGGTAATCGAGTTCATCGTACAGATTGGTTTTTCTAGAGAATCAAGACGTAGTAGTGATAAGCTTAATCTCGAATGTTTGTTGGCACTGAATTCATGCAAGTTCTAAAGTGCACCGCCCTTCCTTAGGTATTGAAAGATTTGCCGAGGGACGAGCGAGAAATAGAATGTGGCAAGTACGCCGCCTGCATTTGACGGATGTTTTCCTAGAAGGTTTGCCTACTTGAACCACGTAAATGTGCATGCATGACTACCACTTTGAATGGCTGTAGATCAAACGGCGATTTGAAGGCTTTGGGCCAGGAGACCACAGAAAAGGGCATGTCTTGGAGGAATCTAGGAACATGCACACGACATGCAACGCCTGTCACTTTGATGGTCGTGAATCAGTGACTACAATATTGAAACTAGCTTCAGCACATGTTTCGGTTCTATTTATCGCATCCGAGAAAAACCGGCCATAATCCTAACCCAACGGATTCAACTTGCGTCACTACTTGGCAGCCGCGGAAGGCATGTTGTAAGTCAGGTCGGCGTCTTCCGCCCGCGCAGCAGCGGAAGGCTTGTTGTAAGCAAGATCAGCATCCACCTCAGCCCGGGCAGCAGCGGAAGGCTTGTTATAAGCCAGGTCGGCGTCCACTTCAGCTCGGGCAGCAGCGGAAGGCTTGTTATAAGCCAAGTCGGCGTCCACTTCAGCCCGCGCAACCGCAGCAGGCGCGTCCAAGGCGATCTTTCGACCTAGTTAGAGAGTTAGACATTGGCGATTCTGCACAAGAGTTGAGCTCATTGCTTGCCTGTCATAGGAAGAGCATTGACACAGGCCAAGAGGCCAGATACGAGAACGATGACGGAGACCTTCATTTCGGCGCCTTTTAGCAATTGAGACAATGGTTGACAATAACGCTTGATGTGCAAAAAGTGAGATGTGAGCTTTGAGAGTATGAAATGAACAAGTCCCTGCGGTCTGATAAACACCTTGACTGAGATGGGTTTGAATATTATATATGCATCGGCCATACGCCTACTGCGTCATCTCTTCGAATAACCTGTCAACTTTTTACCTTACAGTCCTGTATGTTCGGTTGCACCTCTTGGGACTGCAAAATGTCGGCTAAAGCAGAGTCTGGCCAGACTCACCGCGTGTGTGTTGCGAAGTGCATCTGCCCCGCTTTCTCCCATGTTCCCCGGTCACCTGCCTGACAACGACATTGAATGTTTGCCTCTCGGTTGATACATTTTGATTAACTTACAGTAATCTCTTGCTATTTTGAGCTCGAGGCGCATAGATGTCTTGTCCTACCACTGTTTTCCGCCCCTCGAACGCATGGGTTTTCTTTCCGCTCGAATCAGACTTCGTCTCCAAGAGTTTTCAACCGAAGCGATGCTTCACAACTCTGTTGGATCTATTTCTGCAACTACATCCAACAGCCTCTCTTTGCCTTTTTCATCGGGGTAATTTACCGTATTAGATCCACTTGCTCGAGCCTCTTTGTGTCCATGCAGCAAATATGTCGCAACCGCTGCGAGGGGAGGCCCGGAGTGCGAATTTCCCCTGTAGAATCCATGTGAGCTGAGTCCTTCTCCCCGTTCGTCAAGTTGGCCCCGTTTTTGCGGCACGGTAAGAGCGCTTCGTCGACATATCAAGACAGTATGAAATGAAAGGCCATGCTCGTGGGATCTGCACTTACAATCTTTTGCGAGCACACGTTGGCCCGCATAAGAAAGAAGGGGTGGTTCACCCTCGACGTTCTCCGCTGTCTCAACATCAGACCTTCTTCTAATTGTCTCTACGTTTGTGGTCTCATTCCTCTCTAAACAGTATTTGTTTATGTTTTGTTCATTCTGATACGATCTTTGGCATTTTCAGCGACTCAACATGCTTCCTGTAATCGAAAAAGCGACGTACAATCGGGTGCACCCGAGCGATGAATCCAGCGACCGGTCTTACAGCGAAGAGACAACGTTGATGCGGGAGGGCCTTGTCAAGAGAAGATCTGGATCATGTTCACTTCTCTTCAAGTCCCTTTGTGTTCTGGCTGTTCTGATCTTGTATTCGGCGGCTCTGATCCAGATATCTGCGCACATATTCAGAGCTGGTCGTATGCAGGGCACCAGGGCCATGGATTGTCAGTTCACACTGCGCACCGTCAAGTCCGTTGCTAATCGGTCCTACAGCTATCGTCGATGGATTCCTCCAGTATGAATTTCGCGAGTTCTACCAATTCGAGAAGGGACTCCAGAACGTCACGTATTTCACTGAGCCTGACGCGGAGGTGGACAGAAACTGGCATAATATTCTCGCACGTGAGTTGCCACCCTGAATCATCTGATCCATAGTTTAACGGTCTTTCTAAAGATCAGAACATTCGATTTCCGAAACATACAATGGAAGAACTTGGTCGCGTGGACGAGGGTATCGAACTCCCCGGAGGTGGTTACTTTGGATCTATCATGGTCTACCATCACTTGCACTGCCTGGTATGCTTGCTTCAGATCATGTTTCAAAATGTGCCAGTCGACTAATTCAATCCGTTAGAAAAACCTGTATCACGCCCTGCACCCAGAATACTACAATTTCAGCAAGTTGACAAGTCACGAGCAAGAGAGACTCGCCGAGCACAACGGTGAGAAACCTCAACTCCGGCTCCTAGCTTTCGTAGCTTGCTCAAGATCATGCTTCTGATGAAACCTCCAGATCATTGTCTCCATATGCTTCGAGAGGCAGTGATGTGTCAAGGTGACACAACGCTGATCGCCATGAAGTGGAACTCCACTGGTCTTCGGCCGATCGGAAACTTGACCAGTCCCCATGAATGCGTCAACTGGGACAGGCTTATGGAGTGGGTGGTTCCCAACTCCTTCGATGCTCTTGCTGATAGCATGCTGGTACATCCGACTTTTGGTATGGACCCTGTTCCCTTCTCCGATGTTAGCCACAATGTGAGACGCCGAACTGACACAAGAACAGGACCGGTATTCCGCGATCGCCAATTAGTCGAAGCGTCCTGATGGGAAATTTGTTGGGTATTCTTGTAGTAACAGATTGAGGATGATACATGAGGAGTAGTAGCGTGCAGAGGACTGGGCATCACAGACTTTGAGATTCTGTGGTAATGGAAGTACATTTGAATTTGCTTCAAATTCGTTCGTCGTAGATACAAAACTGAGTCGTGCCATGTATTTTGACTCGGCGTAAATAGCCTTAGCTAGACCGTTGACATATCCATGTGCTGTAAGATCATGTGCTCATACATCATCATTTGTCCCAGATAACTCAGTGCTGCACATCAGCGGCGTGCTCCTTGCGCGCAACATATTCCGGAACTCCCGGGGGCTTTCCCGTGTTCGCACCCTTCTTAGAGTGCTCTATTCTCTCCTCCCTCTGCTGCTGGGCCATCATCTCCTTGGCTTCATGCTTGCTTGAGGGGTCCTCTGCTTTACAATTAGTACTGGGATGCGTAGGTAGTCTGCCAATACATACTGTGAGTGTCGGCTTGAGAGTTGTTGTATTGAGGCATTATAAACGCTCCAAGGATTTATGTAAACAGGGTTGACTGTAACGATTTGGGAACGGGAAGTTTGATCGCTGCGTGGAAGTTTGGTCGAATGTGATAGATGTAATGTGAAGGATTTCCTGGAACTATCATTGTAAAGGCTTTTTAAAATAGTCTCGATAGTCTCGATGTGTTATCAAATTGAACTCACTGTAATTTGAGTGACGCAAAGTTGCGTAAATGTATCGTCACTGACGCCGCGGCAACGTCCGCATCGTCGGTTCCCACTTGACGTCGACAAATGGGTCGAATTGTGGGCAATGGGGAGCCACCCGTCTGATAAACGCATTTCAAACCCACACATCTTCGATCTACAACCGGGCAAAAAGCTCCGTCAAAAGACGTGTACAAGTTCGACCTTTCAGGGAGTATCTAATGTTTTGCTGTTGAGTAAGCCAGTGGAACCGGGGACTTCACCTCGGTCGCCGACCCCTGTCTCGAAGCACATGTAATTTTGGCTGAGCAAGTTGGAAGTCTACTATTTTCACAGCATATGGAGTCGATTGAAAACAATTCAGCTGTTATGTTCGGGCCTATCGGCGAAGCTACTATGTACATGGAAGGCACCCGGTCAGAGAGGCATCAGCCAACAAGACCACGGCGCAGAAGTAAATACACGCTGAAGGGATAAGCTCCCCCAGACTCCACGCTCAAGTATGATGCAGAAAGATCGACCAGACACCAAGGTTCAAGCCGCTTAGCAGGCGGACAGAGAAGTCTGGCCCTTGCAGTTGGCAGTGGTGCTGACCTTGCTGCTCTCGCCAGAGCCCTTGTTGACGCCCTTGTACTCCTGGCAGACCTTGGAGACACTGGAGCCGCAGGTGTTGGAAATGGTGGCGACGTCACCGTAGTTGGAGTTGATACCGACGAGCTCCTTGACGCTCTTGGCCTTGACGTTCTTGACGATGACGTTGCGGGGGCCGCCGTTGTTGGTGCAGTCGCCGCAGCCGCGGTAGAGCTTGCCGGCGGTGACGACGGTGAAGCCGTCGATGGTGACGGTGCCGCGGCCGTTGTGCTGGACGACCTTGTCGACAGCGTTCTGGGCGCCACCGCCCTGGATGAGGACGTCACCAGTGCCGAGGGCGGAGATAGCGTCTGCGAGTGGGAGTTAGTTGAATGGCTCGGTTACGAATCTTATGGAGGCTATCTTACCCTCGCAGACGTCGCGGAACCAGACGTTCTTCAGGGTGCAGGCGCCCTTGCAGTGGACGCCCTCCAGCTGGTTCACACCGATGATGACGTTGCTCAGGGTGGCGCCATTCTCGAGAATGAAGACGGCGGAGTCGCTGCCAGTGTCGGCGTCGGTGTCACAGGCGCGACCACGATCGAACTCCTTGTTGCCCATGTCCTTGCTTCCAGAGATGACACTGGGAGCAGAGAGGGAAACGATGGAACCGCTGCGGGTGGGGATGTTGAGAGTCTGAGCCGCGGTGAGGCCGGCCAGCATGGCGGAGACAAGAACCTTGGTCTGCATTTTGGATGTGATTTGCGTGATAAAGCTGAGTGGAAGATATTGAGAGGCAGCTATGTGATTGTCCTGAGTGAGCGGGATGAGGAGGGAAGACGGATGGGAGAACGATGAAGATTCACGTCGTACTTATAGTTCCGTCAGGAATCCCACAGCTATCACGATAATCATTCTCAGGAGTCACCCAAGATACTATGGCGGTAAGGGAGTTTCACATAGATCGTAAGAGTCTAGACTGTACCACTTACTGGGAGCAGCATCCCGTGATCCCGTGGCCTATCATCATAGCAAGTTGTTCAGGGGCGAGGAATGATGAATCTCCTTGGTGGAATTACCAAACATCATCACCGCCATGTCCCAGAAGAAATAAACATTGGGAGACGCCCCAGGCTCGGACGCTCGCCCGAGGACGTGGGTGGGCTGCCGCAAACTCCAAGGAACCCTTGATCGTCATGTACCGAACTTCTCCATCCGTGGCCAATGATATCTCTGACCTTGACAGACGCCAACCTAGTCTCGGTAGTCGAAGATGGTCCCTGCCTCTTCTGATAGGTGGATGCATCTTGTCTTTTCCGACTTCACCTGTACTCCTGGGGTCCATGAGGGCGACGTTTGAGCCCCGCAAATGTGGCGGTCGCGTGGTGGACAGACACCAGTAGTCCTTGAGCCTCCCATGTCCTACGGCAACAACTCCCAATGAGAACAGACGATGGCCGCATTCTGGGAACTCGTAAGGCTTGGCAGATAATCTACCCAATACCTCCAGGAAGGCGAGAGCGACTTTCCAGCACAGCCCCCTTCAAGGTGTGGTCGAGGGTGTCTTTGGGGGTGGAGACTGCCCGAACGGGCTCTGCACCAGAGCCTCTACTGGTATGGTTGGATTATCACAAGAGGGTTCTGAGGAACGGCGACAGGGGTTTTCTTTCGATCTCCAATTCTATTGTCTAGACCGTCCGATGTTGTCCAGGGCCCCACGTTGGATTCAACGCCAAGATCTCAGAGACCAGGGTCGTTCTATTGCTAGTGGCAGAGAGACACGGGAGATGGCTATCGCGTCAGTGGTATCATTGAATCGGCAAGCGAATCACCAACTGGATCCAGCCGAGAAGGTGTTGTCGGTCGGATAGGTTCTCCATAAGGAAACACCTTAGTCCGAGGTGTGGAAGCGATCTGACTGAATGTCTGTAAAGGGCAGGTGCACAATCCAAGGCCCAACAGCATGTTGATGCCATCATGCAACGCAGGCGTGATAGACAACGGGACTGGACAAGCGCTAGAACAACCCACCTATGCAGCTAAAACTGAGTCTAATCAGCATATGCACGCATGCCAAATCACCTCCGATGGCTGGTGAAGAAAAGGAGAACAGCCGTGGACAACCTCACCAAGCCGCAGGTGCCCACTGAAAAAGATGATGGGTCCGGGGTATTGTCTCGGTAGATCATTGTCACCTACCGGCTGATGTGCTCCGACCCCATGGTTGGGCGGTTTCGGCGCTTGCCTCCGGATTGGGGATGGGCGCGAACGGCGTTACGAAAAGCCGTAAAATTGGACGGACGATGCCAAGACCTTTGAGTCAAGCATGCAGGTTTAAAAGGGGACAGGCGCCGCGTTTTTGCTGCACCCCAACCCTTGCCAAGCCTCACCAAAAGATGATAGCCCATCGGCCAAGACAAGAAGAAACGTGAGGTTTCCGTGTCTTGGCACGCGCCAACCCCCTTTTGATGGTGTTGGTGGCAATGGAGACGGCAAATCATTGATGGAAAAAGGGGATTTCCATTGATCAGCGGCCTTCAAACCAGGCTTATTTCGACGGATTTGATGAGGGTGAGACAGCTGGGGAAGAATGTTTAACAACAGCGACACGAAGTGGTTTGCAGATGACAACACTTGGTGAGACATCATGTTTGGATTTGACGGACAACACTATGGTTCTAATGATCCCGTATGGCTTTGTGTGGCGAAATAAATTCCTTCCACTTGGCGGACAGCGCTCCCCGAACAAGGGTTGTATGTTCTGTCTTGGGTGCCTCCCGAAAGACGGCTACCAGTACCAGACAAATCCAGTGGAGGGTCAGGCGAATCTTAGTTCATCTAAGTTCCAGCTCCGCAATAATTCAAGTTGTCAATTGGGTAACAGGAAGTCTCATTACTTTTGCGAATAACATGCCGCAACTTACTTAGCGCCACGGGCTCGTACGATGAGCTTGCGTACTCCAAAGCCCCTCCATTTACAGCCCTACAAGACTATCGTGAAAAAGGCTCTTACACCCGCGTTCCGTGGACTGGGGAAGCCTGCACCGATATTACTGACATTGCAGACGCTCGCAACAGCCCCGGTTGAAGCCCAGGTGGCTGAGTCAGTCCCTTCGACGTGAGCGATGCGCTTATTTTGACGTTGTGCGAATGCCAAGCTTTGTAGATTGAAAGTCAAAATCCAGACCAAAACACGGGAGTACGTGCTTGGCGTGGATCATGGATGGGGACTAAGCTCGCGATAGTTGCGGCCCGAGATGCCACGACTCACGAGTCATTTAGTGGTTTGTGCGTGCCGGTGAGCTAGTTTCTTTACCGAAACTCAGAAACGAATGACCATTGAGAGATGAAGGGCCATTGAATACGAGTATTCTTGAGTAACAGTAACCATTGCTTCGTGAGCAATGGTTACGAAGGGGCTTCCAAGGCTATATGGGGCTCGAAATATTCAAGTCTTCCCCTTTCAAGGAGGGTATACAGAAGAAAATGACGATGACTGACTACTTTCCGGGTTAATCTCCACAGCGTTGAGTAGACATGAAGACATTGGGTCTTGCTCGGGGATGCTGAGACTAGTGAGATACCGTCCGGACCTCACGGCAGCGGTGTAGTTGCCTACGGTCGGTCCGGACGGGCTTCATGGAAGATTCTCATATCACATCTCAAATTGCAGCTCGGAAGTCTCGGAATTGATTCATCTCGCACACGGACTTTAGTGTGACCGACCAAGC